ATGATAAGCCAAACCTTCCCTCACTAGAGGAAATTGTTCATTCTCCATCTTGCCTTGAAAGAATGAACTTTTAGCTTTAGCTTATCCTAGTGTATTCAGCTTGCTAAGCTATTTACTGGCTTTTAAATGTGTTGGCAGAATATTTGTTTGGTTTTTGAACTCTTCTGGTGCCAAACAATTGAAGCATCTTCAGCATACACTATCACAGCTGTGCCCCAAACATCTCTCAATATTCAGTGTTTTTATGATGGTGCAAAATGAGTGTCTCAACCCAAAGCAAATTTTAGTAAGGCTTTTACATGCTGTTATTTCAAATACGCCATTGAAAATTTCCCCTCCAGTGCAAATTAATTTACGCATGCATTCATTCATTTTCTCACTCCTCCTGTCTCTCCATTTATGCCTCATTATCTTCTTTCATTTCTACCTTGCACTTAACATCCCTGCTCCTAAAAATAGAGGACTGGGCAGGACCTTCTTGGTCAGTTTGTTCTCTTTTATATAAACCTCTATCTTTTAAGCAGCTTGTGTTCCACCAATACTCTAGCTTTAAGTCTGTTCCAGATCCTCACTTTTTTTTCTCACATTTAAGAATTTTGTTTTGTTTTCTAAACTAGAGTTATTAATGACCACCTTAATTTCCTTTGTCTGCATGTTGTACTAGCATGGAAAAAACTCCCAACAACCTTATTTTTCCACTTCTGCTCTTTGTGCTTCCCAGCTTCTTTACCTGTATTGGTGTTACTCATTCCTTGATAAGCTACTAGGTTTTCAATGTCCTGTCCTGGGGGTTCACAGACCAAAGGATATTAGCAGGCAGATGTTAGTAGAAGTAGGCAGGGACTTTTTACACATGTTAATTAGAATCATCCTGTTATGGGAAGACATGAAAATTTCATGGCAAATTATGAGATAATTCCTTACTGGAAGAAGAAATCAGTTCTTTCCAGTCTTCTTAAAAAGAAGCCCTCAGGTCAAAGACAAGCTGTAAATAAGAGTGACTTCCAAAATCGGGAAGAAGAACATCACTGCCAATGGACTTGGGGAAGAACAAGAGCTTCTAGCTGAATGCCTCATTCTTCTTTCAGTACAGTATCTCAAGCACTGGCATGGTGCCTGCTAGCATGCTTTTGAGCTTGTGCAAGCAGGCTACCTGGAAAGAAATTCATGTGATCTAGATAAGGCAATATCACCCCAAGGCAATAAGAATCAGCAGTATTTGTGTCTTTCATCCTCCATTCCAGAAGACACAAACACTGTGTGGGTACCAGGGAGTGGCAAACCTTGATTTGCAGTGCCTGTCTTAATAACAAAGGTCACGGAGCCCTGCAATATTTTAATTACTTTTTAATTTTAAATTTTGGCTTATCTGTTATGCATTGTTCCAAGTAGCATTGCCTCTTCAGTGACAAGGTCACCTCCATTAATACCTGGCCATACTACATGTGGTGACTGGAAGACAGAAAGTCATAGGGATGGAAAAGTTTCAGTTTGGAAACACTTCTAGTTAAGTATAGGTCCAAAAAAAAAGTAAAAAGAAGAAATTTTTAGAAAAGCTGAAGAATGGTATATGCATATTCAGCAACTATGCTTCTTTCAAGACTGCACTGGTAGATTCAGGAAGCAGCAGTGTATGACTAAGTAGAGGAGATATGCACAGCTCAAAACCATGGGTGGGCTGGTGAGGACAACCAGTTGCTGGCTTCTGTTGGAAATGCAACTCTCTTTCCTCAAGGCCTGAAACTAGATTTTTAAACATGGGCACTAGACATTCACAAGTGATGCCCAGCTTTTCATTATCACTCCATGACTAACAGTTTAGTCCTACAGCTATTATAGTTTGTTAGACAGGGGCAGTTCTTCTATGGCTGATTTACCTCTGGTTCTCAAATAATCTCAAGAATTTTTTTGTTAGAAAGTTTTTAGGAGGCACTTGAGGGGTCAGAACCACATACACTTGAAAGGAGTATTTTACTTATTTGATGATATTTTTATGCTTTATATATTCTGTGCTGATTGACTGTTTTTAGGTGTATGCAGGGTTCTTTTAAGACAATCACTGTAAACAATGTGTAAGGACAGCATTAACCCAGGTTCAGTCCAGCTTGTTTTTGTTCTTTTCCTTACCCCTTGCAAATGATTCCTGTTTCTCTCTGAAAGGGAGTCAACAGGAAGCATGACACTCTGGGGAAGGATGTGTGACAGCATTAAACTTCCTGGTGAAGCTTCATTCTTTGTACTATCATAGCCATAAGCATCAGTGCCATGAGTGTCCTTACCTACTGATCCTGTGCACCATGAGAAAAAGTCTCTTAATACATTAGCAGTTAGATTAAATGCTTCATGTACACTGCTTTTCATGGATAAAGAAATTTTGCAAGTTTATGTTAAATGTGGTTTTAGTTATCTAAAAGAAATAAGATACTATGTTAAAGAGGGGTTTTTTAAATGAAAGACAGGTGAAGAGTGGATTAGGTCTTTATTTTGGTTCAAAAGGAGTAATCATAAATCACAAGCCAACAGTTACCTTTCTAAGCACCAGTAGAGAGAAAATGCTGAGAATTCTGATTTTTATCCAGAAGAAAAACTGATCAAATATATTTACTGATAGGTGATGTACTCGAGTCAGAACAAAGCCATGCTTGCTCATGCAATCTCAGGATGCATGTTCCAATGACATCATAACGTTTCCACCCATCAAAGTCACTTTGTCATTCAGCCTAAAGGTCAGATGACAGAATGGCTCCAGATTTAATTTTATCAAGGCAATGGACAAGGAGTCAATTCCCACTTTCAAGTTACTTGGATCCCCCACCTCCTTTATTATTCAGCCTTGCCTCATTGAGCAGGCAGCATCTGAGAATACATTCCTCATTTTCACAAGTTACAGAGCTGGCAATGGCCAAGGCAGGGCTTCCACATGAACAATGTTTATGAGATATGCGGAGAGCATTTTATTTTCCTAAGAATTTCACCTAAGAGACAACAGCCAGTAGATTACAAAGCCCGTGGGAGCCAGAAGTGGCTTTGCATTTGTCAGCCTTTGCCCCTGGGCTTGTCAGGTAGTTCTATAAGCCCTGCAGTTCAAAGCATTTAAAGGAATGTTTTCTTGCAACATATTTTGTTTAGTGCAGCCAAGCCTCAAGAGAAGGTTTCTGGCACACTCTATGCAGGGAAAGTTTCAGCACATATGATCTCTTTTTAAAAAATCTTGTAATTACTACATTTACAGACATTTATGCATGACAATGGATGCAGCTTTTCTGTATAGTGCATAAAAAATTACCTGAGTGAGGAATATTGAGTGATGGTTAAATAATTTGCTGGAAGCAGCATAACAAATCAAGAGAATGACTAGTTTGATTTTTGGGCAGCCACTTACAAATCCATTCCACTTACACTTTCAAGAGAAATTTTTTAAGCCTTCCCCCAAAAATATGAGTCTCTACAGAAGCTTGTGCTGTGGCAGTCATGGTGTCTGAAAGGATCCTGAGAACATTCAGTTCTACTATTTTTAATGATATCATGGGAAACTGTTTCATGCCTGAGAAATAAATGCCTTTTCTATACCTCAGGGGAAGAGTTGTGCAAGCCCAAATCATTTGCCATGCCTAGGCTAGTCTTTTAACTCCTGGTATGAGAAACTGGAGCTCCAGAAAGTCATGTTCCCATCCCAACCACATGCCTTATAAGGAACTTCTCTTGCCTGTCTCTGTTTACCAATCCTGGAGAGTTGAAGCCAATGCTTTGGATGGCCTGTGGGTGCGTATTCCCATCTGAACATCAATATGTAGGTAAGGCTGATCCATTGATCCTATAAAGGGACAGATCTTTTATTACTCTGTGATTGCATAGTAAATCAGAGCAAAACAGGTAAAGCACAAATCTCAGCCCTATCTGTCTCTCAGCTGGAAACTGAGCTCACAAACATTTACAGACCAAATACTGCAAATAAACACCTGGGGTTCTGATTATCTTAAGTCAACAGGAGCTTTTTAATACCAAGTTCAGGTTTATGGTGCACATATTTTAGAATAGTTTTTATTTTGCTTTCTCCAGAAGAGTGAAGGAGCTGGGCCTGTTCAGCCTTGAAAAGAGATGACTGAAAGGGGACCTCCTTAGTGCATGCAATTATCTAAAAGGGGGGATGCCAAAAAGAAGGAGCCAGGCTCTTCTCAGTGGTGCCAGTCACCAGGACAGAGGCAAGGGGTAGAAACTGATGCACAGGAAGGTCCACCTGAATATGAGGACGATCTTTACTGTAGGGGTGACCGAGCACTGGAACAGATTGTCCCGAAAGGGTGTGGAGTCTCTCTCACTGGAGATACTCAAGAACCATCTGGACACAATCCTCTGCAATGTGCTGACCCTGCTTGAGGAGGTTGGACAAGATGACCCACTGTGGTCTCTTCCAACTTGACTGATTCTGTGATTGTGTGAGCACAGCAACTCCCCAGCCAGTTCCTCTGACTTAAATAAAGGACATGCGTGGCTGCTCTTGTTATAAATATTGTCAACGGCTTAGCCTAAATTAAGAATTAACGAGACCAGAAGGCTCGAATGCTCTATATTTAGATTTCTGTAACTCTCCAAGTTGGCCCGCGTATTTCTGGCTCCCCAAGGAATGAATGCACGGCGTTGTACAGGCGCCTGTTGAGGATGAATTTATTCCGCATCGGTGTCGCCGCGGCAGCAGCGGCAGGGGAAGGGGCAGGGTGGGGGCGGTGGCAGGAGCAAGGACAACGGCAGGGACAGTGGCACCGTCAGGGACAGTGGCCCCGGAGCCGCCCGTGCCCAATCATGCTAATGCCCGTGCCCGTGCCCATGCCAATGCCCGTGCCCATCATGCTCATGCCCGTGCCCGTGCCCGTGCCCGTCCCGCCGGCCCTCAGGCAGCTCAGCCCTCGCGCCGTCCCTCCCGCCGCTCGGTGGTTGCGGCGCGGGGTGAGGCCGGGCCGTGCCGTAGCAACCACGCGGTCTCTAGGCTCTCAGCGGCTCCGAGCGCGGCCGGGCAGGCGGCGGTGCGGAGAGGCCGCGGCTGGAGGCAGGTGAGGGCGGCCGGGCGGGCGCCACCGCGCTGGGGGAGGAGAGGAGGCGGCTCAGGCGGCGGCCCCGGTCCCGCCGCAGGGCAGCGGCAGCCGGGTCCCGGCGCTGGCGCAGGGCTGGCGCCGAGCCGTAGTCCTTCACCCCGGAGGCCCCGGCTTCCCTTCCCCGCCCGTTGCCATGCGGTGATACAGGGACGCGGCCGGTTGCCTCAGGTGGCCTCTGAGAGGCCGCAGCGCCGGTGGGCGACGTGGCCGGGGCTCATCTTGGCCCTTGTCCCGCTCTTCTCCTCTTCCAAGGCCCCGCTGTGGTTCGGCTGTGACACCTGTGCCCTGTTTGAAAAGGGACCCCATCAGTGTATAAACATCTAATGGGAGGGGGACGGACGGGGGTGTGTGCCAAGAGGAGGGAGCCACGTTCTTCTTAGGGGTGCTAATCACTAGGACAGGAGGCAAAGGGCAGAAACTGATGTACGAGAAGTTCCACCTGAACAAGAGGAAGAACTTTGCTGTGGGGGTGACTGAGCACTGGAACAAATTGTCCAGAAAGGTTGTGGAGTCTCCCTCCCTGGAGATGTTCAAGAACATCCTGGATACAATCCTGCACCATGTGCTCTGGCAGAAAGCTCTGCCTGCTTGAGCAGAAATTGGACCAGAAATTGGACTACCCACCAGTCCAGAAATTGGACTACCCACTGTAGTCTCTTCTGACCTGACCCATTCGTGATTCCATGATTCCATTTCCTCAGTGGGCAGCCACCAGCCTCAGCCCCCTGCACTGCCTTTTTCTGGGTTTTGGTGCTTCAGGTGGTGTAGTGCAGCTTCTTGGGCTGTAAGGCGTGTGGGCTTTCCCAAGACATTCCTGTCTGTCAGGGACAGCCCAGCGGAATGGCCTCAGCAAACATTGCCACCCACACATGCTACACACCCTGAGCCAGTGCTGGGTTACGGCTTTAGCAGTTTGTTTGCACTGGCCAGAGCAGAAAGGGTAGAGGTGCTCAGATGAACTCTGGTTCACCTTTAGAAAATAACCTGTTTGGATTCAGATCTTGGGCTGAAGGTCATCCCAGCTACCATTGCTTTTGAGCTCTCTGTTTCCAAGACTTGAGGTAAAACTCAATGTTTCCATTGGAAGTTGCTTCATCTGTTTTCAAATGCGCCTTTTCATACAGAGCTAACATTTCACGTCCAGGTGTTGTTCACAAGCAACTAGAGGTGGTGCTGGAGGCTGAGGTAGGGGAAAATCTGTTGCCATATCTCTGGGCATCTGGAAAATGAGTCAGCACCTGGGATTCATTCTCTGATGCATGCTAGAATGTGTCTTAGCTATTACCATGAGAGTATTATGATACTTCTTCTGTAGAGAGAAAAATGGCACAAGCCTTGTGGCTTGCTCTGGCCTTTCAATATAGGCATTTTATGCCACGGCTCCCCTGTGGCAAGGGCTTCCTTTTAATGCCCTGATGCCAAGGCTAGTCAAAGGTTGTGCTGCACAGCACCTGGGGTGTTAGGATGCAGAGTTCTGCTTTTTTTAAAGCAGAACTTTAACTTCTCACTGTTCATCTCTTTCTTCGTGTGCAAGAAGACTGAAATGGGTTATATGTTTCCACATGAGTATTTAAACCCATATAAGAGGAATAAATAGCATGTTCCATTCTGCAATGAAGAAAGAGGGAGAAGGCTAAGACTTTGGGTTAAATATTTATCCTGTTTTTGCTTAACTGTGGGAAAAACTGCTTGATGACAACGGCTGACAGCTGGCCTGCTAGTGATTCATAAATGTCTCTTATTCATTCATCTTACTTACTTAAAGAAAAACCAAAGCACTGGTGTCTCAAAGCAATACACTCAGCCACTGTATGCTACCTTGCTTTGTCTAGCATTTTGTCTTCTATTCCTTTGCAGTGTCTTATTCATGCTTGGGCCTTATACCAAGTTCACACACATAATTCCTTTTCTTTGTGAGTCAGCTTGTAGTCTTATATGTAAAGTTATGAATCTCTAAACAAAACTGGATCTCAGATACTTCCAGGTTTAGTCATAAATTGTATTATAGCAAAGGTAAGGCATACTACAAAGCAATAATAGAATATTATACACTGACTGACAGCATGCCAAAGCACCACACTCATTTTTCTCGCAATTGGCTCTTTTTAATGATGATTTGGGGTGAAAGAAGGGAAACAATATTACCAATTTCCTGATTTCCTGCTTTTGAACTTGTGGATCCCTGTCAGATTTGACTTCAGCCTTTCTTGAGAAGGGGAGTAGTTATCATTTTTACATTATTTTTTGCTTGTTGAAAACCCTGATCGCATCCTTCTGTGGTTTATTATTAGCTGGGCATGTGGAACTGGTCTCCAGTTCATGTTGACCTGTGCATGGCAATATTTTAATTTTTTAAAACAGTGATTCCCCAAGGTTTCAGAATAAAGCAAAGAGGAGCTGCCAGTCAAGAGATCTGTCATGACTGCTAATCCATCTAAGAGACTTGCCTGGAGTGACTGTGAGTATTTCATCACTATTTTTGCATAGATTCCATGTTCTCCTAGATAACTTCCAGTTTCCTTTGGAGCACTGTGGTGTGCATGCTGGCTGTAGACAAGCCATTCTGAAGTTGTGCCACACTCACCTGGGCTGTGTGTGGGGTGCTGTGCTGACTTTTATGTATTTTTGGGGAAGGAAACTGGGAATGACTGTTGAAGTGACTATAAACAATGCCTGACTGTATTCAAAGCTTGAGCAGCTGCAAACCTACACCTGCCTCTCTCTAGAGTTAACATCTGTCACTGCTGCTTCTGCACAGAGCAAAGGAGGGCTGGTAAAATGCCAGCCTCTACAGGCATGCCAGCCCAGCATCCTGCTTGTAGGACTGATGGCTGTGAAAGAACTCATGTCAGTCTACACCACATGGAAGCCCTCTGTCACTGAAGGATGATTTCTGAAGATAAGAGTCTTATTTCCTTTATGTAGTGTTAAATGTGGAACTGTCTATCTAATGAACCTTTGGAACCAGGTTGGTTGTTACAATACTTGAATTTAGCAGGGAGTTCTAATCATATTCCATACAGGACTGAAGATTATTTTGGAGGCATTAGAGACATAGGTACCTTTCTATGTATTTTGGGTCAATTCAATGTATGCAGTACATTTACAGGCAGTTTATGGTACATGGGCAATGGAGGACTGGGACACACTAGATGATGTTGGTACTGGAGAAAATGTACAGAAATTTCCAAAGTCCACAGAAAATAAACTTAGATACACAAGGACATTTAATCAACTAGAGACAGCTTAGCTCATGCAGAGTATTTTGGGAATGAACAGGAAATACAAAGTCCTCCTAGAACCTCTGTGCTGAAGAACAGAGGCATTATTGTTTGTCATTGCTTCCATTTCTGCCTCAGCGCTCTGGGGTCTGAGCTGCTGCTGCTGCCAAATGCAAGTAGAGCTAGCCTAGCAAACCATACTGCCATGCTCAGGTGTGTTCCATGTCCTGTAGAAGTTAAAAGGAACCTGGACCTTCATGTTCATGATTTTTTGTGCATGCACATGATCCATCACAACCCAGAGCAGAAACTGACAGAACCATCATTAGAACTTGAGGCAAGTGATTCGACCAGAGGGAATTTCATTTCACCAGCCTTGCAATAAAGTCAGACTCTTCTGGGGACAATGCTATTGCTTATGGGAGGAGTTCAACATAAATTTTTTAGGAAATACTTGTTTATTGCATAATGCTTCTAATGTGTATGTAGTAATGGTCTGAATCTTTGAATGCCTATTATGTGTTCTGATTTCCAAGACTTAGGAGAGATGTCTTAGGAGTTGGAAGAAGTGCCATTTGGCAAACTGGACTTATATTTCAGGGCTTAAATTTCAACATAGAAGAGACATTTATTTTATTAAATTGAAAGTGAATGTATATGGATGAATAGAAAGATGTAACAGCAACTGGATGTGTAGGACTGAGAGCAGCTTTCCAGATTAAGGACATTATTCAGTATTAAAAAAAGAAAACAAGAGGTAAGCTATACATATATACAGTACCATGGAATACAGGTAAAGAAAGAAGAAATTAATCTCATTTGGTTTTGAAATAGTTTGGTTACAATATAAATGTAGTGTTTCCCTCATTTCTCTTTACAGCAGTTGCCTTTCATTCAAAGCACAGGCAAGACCCTGAAGATCTCCACAAGGTCCACAAGAAGAAATCAAAAGAGAAGAAAAAGAGACTGGCAGTTGGTCGGTGGAGAACAGATGTCCAGTCCCTTGTTTCTTCTTCTGAATGGCTTCAGCGTTATGGTCTCAAAAGAAACAAATTGTCCCTGTCCCAGATTTTATCCCAGATTGGATTCCAGCACAGGAAAGGTAAAAGACATATCAATAATAGGATAATAAATCCCCCAACTTTGAATAGTCTAGAGAGTCACACTCATTCTGCACCCCAATGTATGCAGTGGAGATTTTCACATTGTCTCTTATGATAATGGCAGAAATGGAAGCTGTATCCACAGTTGCTGACATTGCCAGTTCAAAGAACTGAGAAACTCCTTCTCCTTTTAATGTGAGAAGGACTTAGGATCTGAGAATGGCTTTCCTTACCCAGCTCTAAGTTCTTTCTTTACCCTAGGCTGCAGTTCACATCCTCACCAATATAGCTGTGGCTCAGAAATAGCTAGTGCTGCTGAGACTGTTAATCTTTTTCTTGCAAATAACACGCGATAAGATCTCTGTCTCCTTTCAGATGGCAAACATAATGTATGCCATGCCATAATCTGTGATCTACTATTGATCATCAGGGTTAGTAAACGTGCTTGGGAATAGGATATTATTTCTGGGTATCCAGCTTTAAGGAAAAAGTTAAATTTAATTAGAATTCAGTCTGCTTTTCATGCAAAGTCAGACTATAGAGAAATGTTCCTTTGCAGTTATCTGACAGCTGGAGGGGAAGAGTTTGCTAATAATTATTAACCACTGCCATAATGGTGCTTTGCAGAGCATGGTAATATATTCTTTTCTTTGAACAGCTTGCTGCCTGAGAAGTAGGAATTGTAATGTATTGCCATAGTTCTAGGTTGCATAATTTAAGGTTTTGGCTGGCTTGTGTCCATGGGGCATTCAAAGATCACCAGTGCAATTCCTGATATCTTGTATGCTGCAGATGAAGAAGAAGCTGTTAAGCAGGGTTAAAGTTGTTACAGTGTTAGGAGCAGAATGTACTAGCTTGGCAGGGCAGCATGGTGTACAGATAGCTGCTTTATGACGTTAACTATTCCCACCCCTAATGTTTTCCTATCAGTGGAGATCCCGGAGAAGATTTCTAGCTAGTGAAAGTGCAGAGTGCACCCTTTTCCTTAGATGCACTCACTTCTGCACCCATTAAATTGTGTAAGAGAACAGCATTATCTGTACCAGATTTTGTATTTGGTTTGGCAGACAAATATTTGCAGTCCTGTTGTGGATTGCCCAAACCTCACAATAATTAAAGTCCTGCATAGCTTTTTGGCCTATAAGTAATTAGATGTGAGTTTTTTCCTCACTTCTGACTAAACTGGGAGGAAGCAGCAAAAGCAGGGCTGCTCTATGGGAGGAAAATGAACCAGGAGCCAAAAGGGACTGCAGCCCAGGCAGTGCCCTCACTGAACAGGATACAGTCCTGCAGCAGGGCGAGGTAATTAACCAAGCCTAGGGTCCAGCCAGGGAATGCAGCCAAGGACAGCAGGAGATGCAGCCAGAGGTTGAAAGCCTCAGGGCCCCATCATAGATATAATCAGAAAATAAAACAAAAGCAGAATTAGAATTTCTCTCAAGTTTCTTAATGTCAAGAGCTCAGTACTGATGCAAGTGCTTCACACATGGATGACATACACATCAGCCTGGAAAATACCTTTTTGAAGCAGTTCTGAAGATTAGCAACTTGATATTTTGTAAATTTTACTGTAGATTATGTGACCACCTTGGGGAAACCTGTGGCTTCTCGATATGCAGATGGTCTGTTTCCTCAGTACAAGAGAGAACAAGATGGCAGCGTGTATAATGTAAGTGTGGCTGGCTTGTGGTACCTTCCCTATGCACTTAGAAGTTATCACTGTAGCAGAAGGATGAGACTAAAATGCTTTCCTATGACAAAAAATGCTTTTGTTCTTTGTGAGAACTTTATCTTCTGATAATTTTTTCTTCTGTTTTGTCAATCTGTTTGTGATAACTATCAGTGGTAGAAAAATTAGATATCTTTTTTCCTTTCTAAGTCTTAGTCTCTTGCCTTGGTGCAGCATTGCAGTAAATCTTCTCCAGACATGATTGCAGTTTCTAAGCAACATCTACCCTGTCTTGAAAAAGGGAACGCTTAAAGAGAAGATGCTCAGAACAAGTTAAAAAAATAAAATTGTAATCAAGAAAACAAATGGGGACACTGAAATAAGAAGACATAATGCACTGTCATTGCCAATGCAAAGCAGTGCTTTGCTTAGTGCCAGCAGGTCACAAAAGGCTCAGTCTATTCTACAGAGACAGCTAGCTGGATCTCTGCCCAGGCTCATGTTCTAAGGAATGTCTTAGCAACAGCTGCTGGCAACCCCATTGTTAAGAGAATGGATTCTGATTGAAGAGATGTGCCTGTGAGTGTGGAAGGGAGAGAGTTAATTTATAAAAGATTTTACAAAAGCAAATGGCTTGTCATTTTTCTGATGACTAGAGTCACTTCTGATGTCACAATGCTTAAAAATGGGTAAAGAACCATTTCAGAGAGCCTTTTCCCCTCATTTTAGTCCCATTAATTCAGTATGAAATATCTTGAAATATCTACATAATGTCTTTTAATCTTAGGACATGTAAGCAGCAGGAAAGACATTTTTGCTAATATATAAAATCTGGTCAGATCTCCTTTAGGATGTTGGGCACATATTGTATACCGTTAGTACAGGCTTAGAGGAAGCCATTTGAAACAGAGTAGGTTCTGAGAAGAGCTGGTAGGATGAACTGCAGTGGAGTGATGATCTTACAAGAGGGCTTGGTTGATGCTGAAATGTAAACCTGAAAGAAGACAGAAGAGTAGTATTATTGCCCTTGAATGCTACAGAAAGGCAAGTTACAGGGATAGGGAGAAGCTGTACTTTTCTCTGCTAGGCATGCTAGTCCAAAAATAAATGGGTACGAACTGAATGAATAAAATTAGGCAGGACAGTCAGAAGTTTGCTGGCCCTCAGAGAAATGGAAATCTGCACTTGTTTACTACACGAGGGAATATTCTAAGAAAACTGCTTTATTTTAAGATGGAGTTTGGTTGGTGTAGTGCAATAAACTTTGTATGAATCTGACTGTCATAGGAGGAAACTGGATTTCTAAGTGCTCCTTCCCAGGCCGACATTCCTTTGGCAGAGTGCCTGAGACTCTGTATCTGGGAGGCACATTACAGGGCCTGAGTTGATATTAAAGAACACAGAAAAATACAATTGAGAGGAAGAAATGTGCAGACTGACACACAAAATGTCTTCTCTCTGAGAAATGTTCTTGTTTAAAAACATTTGTATTTCCAAGGTTTTGTACTTAGTCCTGGAAAGGAAGTTAGAGGTAGAAGGCAACAAGTAAATCAGCTCACATGGGCCAGAGATATTGGGGAAATCTGTGGTGCATTTTTAGACTCACAGGCTATGGTGAATGTGTATACACTTATTCATAGGGAGGATGTGCTGGTTTTAATTTTAATACTGAATCTAGACTTGACTTTACTGAAAAGATATGGGAAGTTTTAGTTGTTGATTGCAATTAGTTGAACTAAATTTGCCTAAGCACCTACCCACAAATAGTTAATCTGTAATGCTGGGCGTTGTTAGTTGAATAATAGTACAAATAGGAAACTTTTTACATTTTCCTTTCAAATGCTAAAGACAAAGTGGAGATTGAAGTGCCCTAGAACCAAACTGTATGCTGCCTTGTATTGCTGCAAAAATTTTTTTAAAAGCCAGTCAAAGTTCTAGTCTGAGAAGGTACAAAGTTTCTGTGTCCTTGTTTGTTCCCCCATCTGCTCTGCAGCCCTTTCTACATCCTAGCCTGTGTTCAGCTCATTCTAATTGCTCCAGTTTTGAGACAGACAAGTCAGACAACCCACTGGCACTGTCCCATGCTCACATAAAAAGATTATGAAAAGCAATTAGGACAAAATGCAATGCCTTTTCTTTATAGCTTAGATGCATTTGTCAAGTATTTGCTCTTGAAACAGTGGAGGGAAAATGGTTTTTTTTTACTGCCACCTTAGCTGGCATATCTGACACTTACAAACTAGCTATGCAGCTGTGCTAAGCTTGGGGCTGCATTTGTATTATTTGTTTTGATGTTCAATTTCCTTCTCTCCCTTATTTGAATAAAGCTGACAGCGAAAAAAGAACTGATTCTTCATTTTGTGGATTGTCTAATTGGAGCTATTGAGCTGTATGAGCAGCGAATGGAATGGTTAACCAGTGAGAGCCGGCAGATATTTGGAGTGATTCAAGAACAGTGCATTGTCATTGTGTTGGATTTTGGCACTGCAGCTCCAACTGAATTTGATCTGTGTCGGGATGCACTTTCTATGGTGCTTGTGGAACAGGTGATACAAATTTCCAGATTCAACCTCATTCGGTAAGCAGAAAGAATCCGAATCAAGAATGGTTTGGGTTGGAAGGCACTTTTAAAGGTGATCTCATCCAACACCCCTGCAAATGGGCAGGGACACCTTCCACTACACCAAGTTGCTCAAAGCCACATCCAACTGCACCTTGAATGTTTCCAAGGATGAGGCATCTCCCACCTCTCTGGGCAACCTGCTCATGTGTTTGAGTACCCTCATTGTAAAAAAATTCTTCATTTTGTCTAGTCTGAATATAGATTCTTTTAGTTTAAAACCATCACCTCTTATCATATTGCTACAGACCCTATTAATAGACTCTCCCCATTTTTCTTTTAAGTCCCTTCAAGTACTGAAAGGCCACAATCAGGTCTCCCCAGGCTGGACAAAGAAGTCCAAGTCAGCCCATTGCTGTAGAATAAAAAGGAGGTGCATGTTATACATGTTTGCATAAGGGACTTTTTATACTGGAAATTATCATGTTCATGTTGTGCTAATATCTGTAGATTTCCCACCAATTTTCACCCATAGCCATGTTGAACTTGCCACTTCTGTGTAACAGAAGGCTGCTGTTACCCTGAAGAACAGATAACAGGTAACAACACTCATATTGGCACATTTGCAAAATCAGAACGATTTGCAACAGCAGTAATGCCCTTCAGATGTTGCAGTATTGGTGGAACAGTGAGGTGCTATCTGACCACCTATTGCATTCTTGTGTCTTTAGACATTACAGGTTTCTGCCTTGCAGCTAAATGTGCACTCCTCCAAGTGCCATAGGCACAGGCAGAGCCGTTTGTGTTTCTGTAGATTTCCATGGTCACAGAAATCAGTAGCAGCACTAGGAAACAATAGTAGATTTCCATAACAAAAGAAGATTTCCAAGCGCTTGTTCCATAAGAGGAATAAATTAATTTGCATTTAGTTAGAAGAATAGAAGTAGCTATTCATATTTTACCTATCTGCAAAAATTCTCATGCATGCATGAGAGTTTGAATGTTTGGTTTGGATAGATGAGTGGAAAAAAATTATGCAAAAATTAGGTAATATAATTTTAAAATTGGCTCCACAATGTTAACTTGCAGTTACATGGTGATTCTTAATGTTATTTTACCCAGGCACAGGTTTGATTCAGGTGCCCAATCTTAATTCTCTAGATTGTGATACTACTGAGATTTGAAAAGGAGAATAATAAAATCCCAGAAAGGTTTGGGTTGGAAGGGACATTATAGACCATCTAGTTCCAAGCCCCCTGCCATGGGTAGGGACATCTTCCACTAGACCCAGTTCCTCAAAGCCCAGTCCGGCCTGGCTTTGAACACTTCCAGGGATGAAGAATTCACAGCTTCTCAGGGCAACCTGTTGGAAAAGTAGATATTTTCCAAAGAAGATATTTTCCAAAGCAGATAGGTTCCATAGTTTTTGAGAACAGAAAACTTTTTCTTTAAAAATGAACTGCAAAGCCAAGTCAAAATTGAAACAATAATTATGTTCATCAATTTGTTTGTTTTTGCAGGATGGAAACAAAAGACAATATAGTATATAAATTTCTACTTTAAAAGAATCTTGGGTAATATATTTGCCTTTTAGATTTGCAGGAAACGCTTCAAAATAGTTCTTGATGGAATATCACAGATACTGGAACCAGTTGGTTTTATAGTTCCTTTCTGCCTTTTTATGTACAAGTGCACAGGCAAAAGTGCTGATTGGCTTTGTACTTCTGTTCATCCATTAAGACTACAGTCTTTTGTCAATTAAAATACCAAAAAGCCTAGCATCATAAATTTTATTTTTGGTGGCTAGGTAAAGATCAGCTGTACTACCAAAAAAAGTGCTCTGACACCAACATCGTGGAGCAAGTTGTGGAACAAGACCTGTGGAATACACTTTTCTTTTTCATGCCCTGTGGAATAAACTTTTCTTTTTCATGCCCATACTTTAAAAAGCTGATTGAGTTTTTATGATAAGAAGAATTATGAATCAGGAACTCTTTTAAAAAGATTTTATCTCCTCTGATCCTACTTTGGAAACAGTTCCAAACTTTGGAAACTGTGTCAAAAAAACACCTTGTAAAATTACGGTATTTTTCTAATGGTTTCATTTTTTCTCTGCTTCCTTTATTGCAAGTCTAGTATCTGTGGTATACTGTTATTCTTATTTAAGAATATAAAAGAATTGTAACAATAGCAGAGCTCCACTCTCTTGTTCTGCCAGCATGATTCTCACTCTTTCTGATTTATAGTTAATCTCATTTTCAGGGTTGCTCGGGATCTCACAAAGTGGCAGCAGAAGTGCACTCCTGTGTCTGAGCGTGCTGTAAAGTCTGCAGTTCGATGGCTCTGGAGGCTGGAGCGTATGACAGCTGTCAGCCACAGCAGCTCTGCTGAAGCTCTGCTGGAGGCCATGGCTGATGAAGCGGTAAGCTAATGCATCTTTTCAGAAGCCCAAGTAAATCCAAGAGTGTTCAGTGCTGGGCTGGCTGCTGTGATTTGCCCTGGTCAATGCTGCAAAGATAAATATTCATGTCAGCATTTGGAAAGGATTTTTTTTCTCCTCAAGTGTAGCTCCATACTATGCTTAATGATTGTCTTTTTATGTAAATGTACTGTATTTTGAATGCAGAAACTTGTTTATTTTCTCTTCTAGAGTACCCAGAATAAATAACATTCAGTCATTAAGGGAAAGAGAAAGCATCTTCCTTTCCACTTTCTTTGCCACATAAGTTTTTCAGGGCTTCAGGTTTATGAGAAAATTTCTAGTATCAACATTATTGAAGGCAGGGAAACCATTTTTATTTTGTTTAGCATCCAACTTGCTCATGAAAAGTTATATTTAAAATTCAAAATAGTGAGTACAGAGATTTATGGAAGTATTAGTTTATGATAGGGCTACACAAATCCTTTTTCATCAGCCAGGTGATAGCTAGACTTTCTTCCAAGACAGAGACAAAGCACAGTTATTCCTGCAATTAAATGCTGTTCATTTTTAAAAGGCCCTATTACTTTGTTCACTAAAATAGAGTAACAAGAAATGAAACATATATGCCACCATCTCAGCTAGTAACTTGAAACTTGTGTTTTTAAAGAGATATTTTAGGACATTTCCTTAAAATATATATTCTTTCAGTTCTCTAACACCTGAATTTAATGGAAAATTTGGCCTACTGTCTGTGGAGTAGAGTCATTGGTTTTCACTGCTGTTAACATCCATCCCTGTGCACAGATCCAATCCTAACTCATGTAAATCTCTTTCTGGAACATTGTTTGAGGGAGAAGGTAAATTTTGCTTGAGTTACGTTCTGCTTCCTTATGCTGCTAGATTCTCATCCAGATAAGCCTTGAAAGGTCCTGCTTTATTAGTATTAAAAAGGAGCTGAGTGAAGAACAAATTGTTTGCCAGTGAGATTTTTTTGTGAACGCTTTTTTATGCCGTCTTCATAAATTTTATTAGCATTTTCAATTTGCAGTATTAATACTGATTTCCTGATGAGTAACTAAAATATTGTACTTAGATTTCAGCATTGTCTGGATGAAAAAAGTCTTGTTGGACCTGGAGGGTCTCTGTTTGAATAAACAGAAATTAAAATCTGTCAGACAACGGAACATGTATTATTATTTTTCCAGATATTGGTGGGCCAATAGGCAATCTGGGGGAGTCAGTTGTGGCAGGTGCTCAACAAAAAACAAATTTCAATTGCTCCTAAACAGAGTCATTATCATTCATAACTGACAGTTCACTTAAGAGCAATGTTCACTGTAGTGCAGATGGGGGATACCCCATCCAGTCCTAGAAAAAACTTGTCTACTTACTGAGCAGTCATGAATAACTCATTCCTAAGAACTGGCTTCATCCACAGAAGCTGTTCCAAAACAACAGTTATTTGTTGTTTTTTTTTTTTTCCTCAACATGGCTCTTCTTGTCATTTCTTCAGCTGGTCTTTTCTTTCTATATGTGGTGATTCCTTAGATTTCCTTTCCTTATGACCTGTAATTTCCAAGCTCAAGATCAGTCTGCTGTAATGTTGCAATCCTTTGAGCTCTACCTGCCACAACTGTCTCCAGTTCTGTACAGGTGCCACTCCATGAAGTGTGGATCACTTATCCAAAACACCTCCCCACCAAGATCAAGACTCTGAAGAACTGTTCATGTTGTTGTCCTTTCTGTTCTTACATGAAGTTTGTTTGCTTGTTTAAATGTATAAATTACAATTTTCAAAATATGAAGGACTCACTTGAAAGGTTTTACCCTTTCCCCGCTAGCTTATGGGGAACATTTCCTTTGTGGTATGTCATTGCTGGGTTTGTGGTTAAGTAGAGTGGTTCATAATATGTGGTTCATAATTTTTAAAAATTTTTGAGTGGGGGTTGTTTTTTTTTCAGCTATTCCCAATAAATGTCAGCATTTTGAAAGTTACAGAGGCAGGCAGAGAATCCCTTGAAGAAAGTGTGAAATTCTTGTTGAATATCAATTTTATGAATTAATGGTAGTCTTAGAGGGGAGGGAGAGAAGATGTGAATCTGAAGGAATACAGGAAAATGGTTGTGCAAATGTGCATGCATACCTCTGGGCCAGGAGCCTCTTCAACAAAAGCAGTAGGAACATGGTGTTGTCCAAGGACTGGGTCTCATCTTGGAGACCTTTGTGCAGGCTCAGATAGCTTTTTAGCTGGAGGAGGCAGACAGGGAACTTTGTGAAACTGAACTAAAAGACAGATAGGTGCAACAGTTCATTCTTGTTGTTTCTGGCCACATTTTTCTAAAGGTAGTAAGTATTTTGTTAATCTTGTACTTTAATAAAATACATTCATTATCTCTTTGCCTTTAGTATTTATCTAGAATTATCACATATGCTAGGACACCTGGTCCTGCTTGCTCCCAAATAAGTGGAATCTGTAACTATGGCTCCTGCCTTCTGCATGGAGTGTCTGGCTCCTCTGCAAGATCCAAGAGAAGTTCAAGATGGCAAGGTGCTGCTCTGTTAGTTTGCCTGATCCAGCCTGAAATTGGTTGGGCTACTTGGGAGAGATATCTTCCAGTGTTGAGGAAGGTGCCAAAAGGTCCATGAGGGAGGACACTTGAAATGCAGAAATTATTCAGGGAGCTGGAATACAAATCAGTATCCAAGGCAATAGTGGAAATGTATGAGCACGCTTGTAGGTGATATTGAATTTGCATACTACATTGCTTTACTACATAAAATTATGTGAGTGCAGAGACATTTCCTCAGTGCCATCCCAGACTCAAACAGTTGTCTTTTGTGGTGCATATCCTGGGATTCATATTCATAAACGTAGAATATTCATATTCATAGAATCATAAAGTCACATAATGGTTTGAGTTAGAAGGGACCTTAAACACTGTTTAGTTCCCACACCCCTGCCATGGGCATGGACACCTTTCACTAGACCAGGTAGCTCAAAGCCCCCTTTAACCTGGCCTTGAACACTTCCTGGGATGGGGCATTCCTAACTTCTCTGGACAGTTGTTCCTGGTGCCTTACACCCTCATAGTGAAGAATTTCTTCCTTGCATCTAATCTAAATCTACCATCCTTCAGTTTGAGGCCGTTCTTCCTTTTCCTTGTGAAAAGTCCCTCTCCAGCTTTCATGCAAGTGCCTTTAGGTCCTGGAAGGTGCTATGAGGTCTCCCCAGAGCCTTCTCTTCTCTGGCTGAACAGCCCCAACTATCTCAGTCTTTCTTCATATGAAAGGTACTCCAGCCTTGTGATCATCTTTGTGGCTCTCCTCTGGACTCCCTCCAGCAAACCCATGTCTTCTGATGCTGGGAGTCCCAGAGCTGGACACAGTGCTCCAGGAAAGGTTTCATGGGTGTAGAGTAGAGGGGCAGACACACCTACCTTACCTTGCTGGCCATGCTGATTTTGATGCAGCCTTGGGTACAGTTGGATTTCTGGGATGCAAGCACACATTGCTGGGTCATATTGAACTTCTCAACAACCAATACCCTCAAGTCTTTCTCTGTAGAGCTGCTCTCAATCAATTCTCCACCCAGCCTGTGCTTGAACTTGGGATTACCCTTACCCAGAAGCAGGACCTTTCACTTGGCCTTGTACTTCATGAGATTCACTTGGTTCCATGTCTCAGGGCTGTCCAGGTCCCTCTGGATAGCATCCCTTCCTCCCAAGACATCAGATACCACACAGCTTGGTGGTGTTGGCAAACTTGCTGAAGGTACAGTCAGTCTCACTGCTCTTGTCACCAACAGAGATGTTAAAAAGCGCCAGTCCCCATACTGACCCCTCAGGAGCACCATGGACATTCCACTTGGACATCAAGCTGTCTGCCCCAACTCTTGGAGTGCAACATCCTGCCAGTTCCTTATCCACAGAGTGGTTCATCCACCAAATCTACGTTTCTTCAATTTAGAGACAAGGGTGTTGTGCAGAGCAGTGTAAAATGCTCGATAGAAGTCCAGGTAGATGAGGTCAGTAGCTCCATTGTAGAAGGTTACCAAATTGTCAGGCATGCTTTGCCCTTAGTGAAGCCATGTTGGCTTCTTATTTTCCCTGTGCCTTAGCATAGTTTTGAGGATGATCCACTCCATACTGGGCTCAGAGGTGAGTATATTCAAATGTATTTTTTCAGTTAAACAATGATTTATCAGGTATTTATCAGCCGGTATGTACCATGATATAGAGCTGATATACTGCACATATTGTCTTGAAAGTCATCACGGGATAGCTGTTTATTACATTTATTTTTAATGATGGTGAAAATTCAAGAAACATACTCACCATGAGGATCATTACATGGATAAGTGCAGGTAACATAAAATCTCTCATAATGTAATATTCAAGCAATAACTAAAGGATATTTTTCCAGGTTCTCTCACTTCTTGTAATAACATTTTCAGAATATAAATGTGTGTGGTTATAGTAAAACTGCCAAGCTCCCTCTGCCTTGGGAAGCATAAAAAATACAAATCATCTGTAAATACCAGCAATAGCATTCAAATAATCACAGAATCACAGAATATGCTAGGTTGGAAAGCACCCACAGGATCACTGAACCCAGCTTCTGGCCCTGCACAGGACTCTCCCCAAGAATCATACCATGTGGTGAAAGTGTTATCCAAACACTTCTTAAACTCTGGCAGGCTTGGTGCTGTGACCACTGTTCCAATGCCCAACCACCATCTGTGTAAAAATTTTTCTAATATCCAACCTAAACTTTCCCTCATACAGCTTCATGCCATTTCCTCACTGGTCATCATGGAGAAGAAATCAATGCCTACCCCTCCTCTTCCCCTCATGAGGAAGTTGTAGACTGCCATGAGGTCTCCCCTCAGTCTCCTTTTCTCCAGGCTGAACAGACCAGGTGACTCAGACACTCCTCATACAGCTTCTGTCAAGACCCATCTTTGTTGCTCTCTCTTGGATGCTCTCCAATAGTTTAGAGTCTTTCTTATATTGTGGTGACCATAACTGCACACACAATATTCAAAGTGAGGTTGCACTAGTGCAGAGCACAACAGGAAAATCACCTCCCTTGATTGCCATCTTTCCTAACCCCAGAATACATGCTGCCAGTAAAACTATGTCTGGTATAAAGTCCCTACTTTTCAGTGCTGGCAAGGCACCAACATAGCACGTCTCTTGATAAAAGTGACATATGGCACAGAGCCTTTTTCTGACTAGTGATGCAGTTGTCCTTCCTTACTCCTCTCTTTGGCTTCAGTTAATGTCTGTGGAAAGAGGTTTGCACTGGGCAGAATCAGAGCCAGGGACTGTGGGATAGGTTCTTGTCTCACTTGAGGAAATTTTGTGTGGCCTTCCTTTGAATTACTAGCATAAATGAGAGGAAGAACCAAAGATCTGAAAATCTTATAGACCAAGTAATGCATCAGTTTTACCAAATTTTCCTACTGAGGACAGGACAGTGCTTGAGTAAGTATCAGTCATTTATGTAAAACTGTGTCTTCCAATTACCTTTTTTTCTGTTTAATGACAGGTTGAAGCTGTTTATTACTTTGCTGTGGGGGATGTTCCAGTGGACACAAAGCAGCTGCTCCTTGAGAAAATTTCAGATGTCTCCTGTCCAGTCAACATGGTGTCTTTCAATGCTAGGGAAGATGAAACTATTATTTTTCTGAAGGAGTTGAGCCACTTGGCCTCTGGCAGGTATGACAAAGAAGGACAGTAAAGATGACAGTATTCATGAAGTTCTTTGCTGTTAGAAGTGATATTGGGACATACCTGAGTATAATTCATGAGGAAAATGAGACAAAGCCATTCAGTAAGTGATCTGGGGATATGGAAATAGTCTTAAGATATATGACTAGTATGCAGGCCCTACTTAAACAGTCCATTTTTTTCTGCATATGTTCTCACTGGCTTGCAGAAAGGCTATTCCCTTTTTATGCCCAAAATCATTTGCCATCTGCCTCTCTCTTGAAGTCTGAAAAAAACTGTTCAGGGGAAATGGTCACAACATAAACTGAAATAAGTTTTTGTTGTGTTGCTTTGTGCATTAGTACAAAGCATTACATTCCTATCCACAAGCACCAGAAAAAGAACTAGAGTTTTGTTGGGTCAAGTGCCATAGAGACAAGTACTGAAAAGGAGATGTCTGTCCGAAATGAACAGCTCATGGAATAACAGTGAAATGATGGGGTGTTATTCTTCAAGCATGGTTGTGTGGAAAAGCAGTTCTGTAACATGCTCTCTAGCATCCTTTTGGTATGGTTGGTGGAAATTAATATATTCCACATGGCTTTTTGTCTGCTTTGTCCTGGGAATCAGCCATGTGGTAAGAATCAGCCTTTAGTATAAATGGATAAGACGACTTAAATCTTGATTCTGTTATCAAAATAAGGAAAACAAATGAACAAATACAAAACCCACAAGACCAAACTCATGCTCAACAGCAGGAAGGTAGTAGGAGTCAGTAGGTGTTTCTCTGCTTAACAGAAGTCACCATACAGTTTCAGACTTGTGAAATTGCTGCTAGCTTTTTCTGTTTCACTGTTGTTTGTGCAAGAGTGGGAAGCCCTCCAACAGTAGAAATCTCCCAAATGACAGCAGAGCAATTGGTAAGATGGCAGCTGCTTAGCTCTTTTATAGCCATCTGTGTTTAGAAATAGCTTTTAGGAGATGGGAGTGTCTGCCAAAAACAAGACTGGGAAAGTGTTATGTTTGCTCTGGTCTGATATGTGTTTAAAATGATTGTGGTCATTTGGAAGCAGGGTACCTTTATGGTACCAGATACATTGCCAGTCACTATTCCTCATTCTCTTTTGGCAGTGTTTATATCTTCTTTATTAAAGGAAAGTGGGTGTTTCTTGTATGGTATAGACAGAGGCAAAAAGGGTTGTGGCAGGGAGCTAAGAGGAATTTTTTTGTTTGATACTATTCTCACTGTCATCTTTTTGCATGAGTCTGGCTTTTGTGCAGACTTACAGGACCTGTTAATAACTTGCTGGTGGATGATTGCCCAACAACTGTATATAAGTTTAAGTCAGCTTTCCCACAGGAACAGCCAAGTTCATGGGCTTTTCATGCCTTGAACCTGTTTCTAGTGTACTTCTGTTTTAGAAATGCATCTTTTTCCTGCTCTGAGAGCTTCTTTGTTTTGACAATGAGGATAAATAAAGTCTGCTTGTCATCCTGATTTGTATGTCCATAATGAAATAAATGTTCCTGCTAGGCTTTCAACTGGGAGGATAATCTGATAAAAAGGTGTTAGTGTCATCTCAGACATCTCAAATTACATGCCTGCTCAGCCTCTTAAAAGCATTAATTAAAAATAGATTTCCAGGAAATTGAAGAGTAAGGTGCTTTGCAGTTAGTAATATCAAAAAGAAAGAATATTCTACATGAGAAGACTTCAGAAAGTACATAAATGTATATAAAAAGCTTGAAAATATTAATCTTAATTAATATAATCTTATTGTAGTGGAAGCTTTAGATATTATTCTGTAGTTGTGTGTGTGAAAAACACCTCTTTAAAATTAGAGAAATATTTATGTATTTTGTGTACTGGTTGAAACTCATTTTGTATTACAGATTCCATGCTTTTGCTGAGAAGAATAACTGCAGAGATGCTACTGGACCTGCACTAAAATATGAAGAGGATGGAAAAGGATTAATTTTGAACTCTGGAAAAGTGAAAGGGAGAAGGCCACTAGGTAGAAAATATAAATCCCAAGATTACACTGATATTATCAGCAACATGTCAGAATAGAAGTGTAGTTTAGGAACTTGATGAATGTAAAATCAGAGGAAACCTGTAGGTGTGGGTGGGGTGAGGACAGGACTGCTCTGGAAATGGAAATTCTCTGTGTGGGAAGGAGAGGGCAAGGAAAGGAGAGAAATGAAGAGAGTAGAGGATGTGCATGTGAGAATGAAAGAAAAATGAAAAAAAAGGGAGAAGATAATTTATTTAGGAATATGAAGAATGATACTTGTGTGCTTATGCCAGCGACCTTGTGGAAATGTATGGAGAAATGGTTAAAAGGAAGAGGAATAGTGTGGCAGACCATATGATACAGCAGCCAACATCAATATAGGCCAATTTCATTGGTAATATAAGGGGATTAAATCAACATGAGGCTTGCTTGCTTGTCACAAGAATTTGTCACAAAGGCAAAAAGCACAGTAAAGTGACCATGGAGAAGGCAATGCAAAGTGGTGGTGGGAGGATTGATAGAAAAAATACCAGGAGGAAACAACCAAAATAAACAGTTTCACTGGTGGGTGGAGCTGGGCAGAAAGCTCAATGTGTTTCATATTAGTCACAGTTCTACTTCCTCTGGGTAAGTGTTCAGTGGGGGACTGGACTGTGGTTTCAACCAGGGTGGGAGGAGAGGGGCTTGTGATATGAAGTGAGGCTTTGTGTGTCAAATCTGATGTCTTTCTCAGCAGGAGAGTTAAAAAAAAATATTTCTTTTAGGCATCAAGAATCATAAGACATCTTTAGTCTAGTGGCTCAACACACCTACCCCTTCTCTCCCTTTGTGCTGGGGGCATTAGTGTTGCCTCAAAGGCAGAACAGTGTTATCCTCTTCTCACTGTTAGGGAATGTGTGGCATAAGGTGGATTTGGTGTCTCATGTAAGGCTGTTTGTCAGTCTTGGACTGAGTGGCCCATATTTGGGTTGTAATCAAGTTTCTTGCATACTAATCTATCCTTCACTAGGATCATGATTATAACAGCCCAAGAGAAAGAACAATTGTGAGGGCCAGAAATAAAGAAGTGAGGTATCACCTGCTTTTTGGAGTCATGAAAGGACACTCATGGCTCACCCATGCAGAGTTTAGAAACCAACAGCAGAGTGTGCTTCAAAACGCTGTCGTTTCATACTAATGCAGAGCAGTATAATGATTGCCTTCAGTCTGCTGTGAGTGCTTTCTTGCTGTACCACATTTGGGGGTGTGCATGGGGGGAGCTGCCTCCCTCTTCCCCTGGGGCAGTCAGCCTGTTTCAATAGACGAGCCTAGAGCTCCTGTATGACTGAAATTACTTCCTCACCACTGTTTCTAAAGCTGAAGGCTGAATAGCTTTAATCACTCAAAAGGGCAGTAATCCCCTTGAAGTGCATTGTCAGTTGTGTCTTATTGCTATTATGGAGTAGAATTTACACATTAAAAAGGAACACAATTAGCTTTCTGCATTTACTGGGTATTACAAGCACAGCTGTGACATCACTGGCAGCCAATTGGAGTGTTTCAGTCATATGCAGAATCTTAAGTCCTTTCAGAAAAGAAAACACATTGAAGACATTATTCTGGTCTGTGTCTGATTTCTCTTGTTTCAGAGACTCCTTCAAGGGCGTAGTAATAAGGCAATAAAAATAAAAGTGTTGGTTACTCACTAATGGGCTCTGAAACTGGTTCTTGGATATGTGGCATAAACTACGCAAGGAAATAAATAGAGAATGAACCAGAGATTTAATCCTCCAAATGTGGTGTTCCTAAAAACTAAAAGGAGGCACAGGAATATTTTGATTATGCTCCTTTTTGCACCACAAATGCAACATCTGGAGGGTGAAACTCATAACCATGTTATATGGACTGGAAAAGCTGTTTTAGCGACATCTGATAGTTTCTGGGTATCCACTGAATATCAGCATTTTGCAAATACTGGATACTTTATGTTGATTCCTTTTCATCTGCCTAACAAAACAAGTCAGAACTATTTAAAATTTTAGATAAGAGCTCAATTCTCCCCTCTTTTGCATCTTGAGTAGACATTTGGAAAGCAAGTGTGATAAACTAACAATTTTTTGACACTCATTTTGAGTAGGTGCTCAAGATCAAAACAGGTGTAACTCATTAAAGAATTAGGGTCCTTTTGCTGGCAGCCTCAGATTTACTTTTGGCAGAGAAATGCTTTTACATAAAGTCTTATTTCACCAATGTGATTATATCTCCTCATCCAGCACTAATTTTCCTGTTATCACTTCTGCCTACATTCTTTGTGCAGTTTATTCATCTGTAAAAAGCTGTAGAATAAAGCAATCTTGTTATGTAGTTAAATTTATAAGTGGAAAGGAGGTGACATTTAAGTTGGAAGTCGAAGACAAGGAAGGCAAGGAATGGTGGAAGCTGTGAAGAAAAGATGTTTTTCTGAAAAAGGGCACATTCGTGTCATCTGCTTGGAGTAAAGGGTTATAAGTGCTACATAGTGCTTGAAAAGCAGCAGTGCTTTGAACTAGATCCTAAAATGAATAGAGGATCCTTGGTGGCTGACACAGAAACAGTAAATTTCCGTGTAGTGGTGTCTGTGTGGTGGAATAGATGAGCTGGCAAGTGTAGAGAAAATGCAAATGGACTGAAATCAGGATTTTACTGATGTGATAAATCCAAAGTGTCTGACCTCCTTGTGAGCAATATAAGGCTCTGTTCTTAGATGTGCTTGATTTTTCACATGTGGGGAAATATGATAGGGAATATTTCAGGTTATTGTGTGTAAAAAAGGAAAGCGTAAGAGTGTCATTCTCCTGTATGACATTGAAGTCAATGAACTCTGCGCTGTTTATGTACACTGACATGGGAAAGATTGAACCCTCCCTTTGGAGAGCCAGAATAATGACTGAAGAGTGGCTACTTTTCCTAGAAGCTGTAGCAAAGATCATTGCCTCTGCTTTTTTCTTGCATGTGCTTTGTTCTAGTTTTAGCAGCCTAACCTTGGCCTGGCAGATCTCTTTGCTAATGTGTAGAGAATGATGCAGATAGTTGTTTTGTGATTCCACATGGGATACAAAGTTCATTTACTTTGTCCATTTGCCCAGTGGAAAAGGGGCAGGATTTGTCTGCAGTGAGTTTCAGTGCTGTTTGACCTGGCAAGTATGCAGGTAAAAGCTGTGGACTACCCTCTTACACCTCTTTGTGCCTCCATTCATCCCCCTCTAAGTGGAGATTTTAAAAATCAATGCTTAAGGGTATATTGCTGTGTTCTGCTGCCACGTGGAGGCTGAGAAAGGGACTGGCAGTGAAGAAAATAAATTTCCCCATCTTCCCTTGCCAACAAATTTTTTTCATTTCATTATATTTGCATTTAATTTGCATTTGCATTTGCATTTGCTTCCATGGTTTAAGTCAGATATTCAGACAATTAAGAAATGCTTCTGTTTTCCATGATTTGCTTTTGTATTGGTATTTGCTTCCTGTTTCAAAGATATTGTAGGTATTTTGGATATTTTGTAGGTTGTTTGGTTGTGGTTTTTTTTTTTTTTCCAAAGCAGGATTATTTCATTAGCAATATGGAAATCAGATTGGTTACAGTGACTTGTAAAACTGGGTGAGTTTGTTTGTGGGGAGGTACATGTGGAAAAGCTGCTTCTTTTGAGATTGTCTGCCAGTTAAATAACTGGGAAATGGAAATGAGGGCAGTTATGAGTTTCCGTGTACACGTGCAAGTGTGGTTGTGTTTTTGCTTAGGTCTAACATCTTGCTTCTCAGTTCATGGGAGTCAGCAAAATGCTTCTGCCCCTTGCCACAGGCTCTCCCCACAACCTTCCTCATCCTCTTCCTCTTTCCTAGGCCCTCCCTTCTGCAGAGCAGAAACGCCTTTACCTGTGGGCAGGGCACTCCTGGAACGTTACCCAGGGTGAGGTTCTCTGCAGGGTCAGGATGGCTTTGGGGAGAACCAAGGGAAGCTGACTGCACTTGGCCCAGGCTGGACATGTGCAGCAGGGTGTTCAGGCCAGTCCCCTTGTGTGTGACTGGAGGCCACCCTCCTGCCATTGCAGTGGGGTGGGTTTTGAATGACCTCTGGGGAGGTCCCCAGAGGTCTGGCTCTTACACTGCCCCCCAGAGCAGCTGGGAAGGTGCTTCATGGCAGGAGGAGCCAGGAGTGCCCTTTCTCTCCCTGGATAAAGTAATTTTTTAAGACAAGATGATGCCTGAGACATGGGTACCTGAATGTGTACAAGAGACAGTGGCTTGGAGTGGTTGTGAACTGCACCCTCCAGAGGGGTGACTTTCTTTGGTTGGTGGTCCCCCAAAAATGGCACATCTGAGGTTGAGCAGAGGGAATTTAAACAAAATGAGGTTCATGCTTTCTTGATCATTTACCAGAGATGTGCTTTGAGGGATGGGCCACAGCTGAGAGCCACATCCAGAAGATGCTATGCTTTGCATGTAGATTTTGATTTTGGGGGTTCCATTTTGAAAGACACAGGCCACTCCTTAGCTGCAGGGGAAAAGAGGCTGAGGCAGAGGTGCAGTTGAGCTTCCTGTGTAGAGAAAGAAAGCTGCTATGGATATCACTGCTTGCAAGCTTCTGTCCCAGTTGAATCCCGGAAAAGTGTTGTTGAAAAAATGTTTTAAGCAGCTGGAATTTTACAATGTGCAGTTCTTGGTGCCTGCATTTGTCCTGCGTAGCAAGTGACATTGAGCACACTTGCTTTGGGAAGGCATGCTGTGCTACAAGCATAAATGAGGAAAAAATATCTTCTCATGTAATACCAATTCAATTCACCTATCTTAATGGGGACAGTAACAATAATCCTGTAAAACTGATGAGTCCATATCATTAACTTAAGAGGAAATGAAGCAACACAATGATATAATTGTTATTGATTTAGAGGTAGTTAAGTTTCTTTAAATATTTCTTTAAATATTTTCAAATTATTAAAAATATTTTAAAATGTTAACATATTCATAAAATTAAATCTGGATGACAGTAATTGACAGCTTGTGGAGGATATCCAGATTTATTTGGAGACAGCACCACTGGAATTGCATTCTTAACAGCCTTAAAGTTAGAACTATGTTCATGTGTGGTGTGAATCCATGTGTTTTCATTTCTGGGGAGAGATTGCTTATAAAATAAAAGTAGAATTCTTTCTGAAATATTTGATGGGAATATTTTTCTTAAATTTAACAGGTAATGATTACAGACTGAGGGGGATTTTTAATTCCCTTTTGTGTTTTATGTTGTGGAATGATCTGCCTTACTGAAGCTTTTTGTGATTTAGGAAATGTTGATCTTTGTTCTAATGGCTGCAACAGATGTTTTGAAATGCAGGAACGTCCCAGGAGATGGCAGTGTACAATAGCAGAATTCAAAATATTTGTTGGAATCTGAAAACATTTCACAATTAAAATCGAGTTATTATTTGTATAATTTTATTATTTTTAGTATTAGTATTGGTATTATTTTTTTCAGAAAGTTTATCAAAGAACTGGCAACCTGCTTTAGTAGATAAATTTTCATATGTTATCTTTCATACAGTGAACCATCACTGAATATTAGCTGAACCACTGGATGGTAAGATATAGTTTGCCTTGTTCAGCATTTTTATGTGCAATTCATTAATAGGCTTTGATCTGCAATAGTTTGTAACCTGTATTTGTGGTTAGGATAGTTGATGATTCAGCGTCTTTTAGATTTTTACTCTAACACTGCACACAGTTTTTCTGCATTGTCCAATATTGCAGTTTAAAATCTGAGAGTAACTTAACACATTTTTAATAGCAATCCTACTGCTTAGGTATACAAGGTGTCTCAATTTTAGTAATTTATTTTATGAAATAAATAAGCCTTTTATTATTTTCATCAAGAAAGACATATCTGTTGAAATTGAGAAAACCTTGTCTCAATTCCAGTTTTGGATCTTTCTAATTATTTTTGAAAATATAGCTAGGTAGTAATTTTTTTTGGTAACATTTGTTTATGACTGTTGAAGATTGTTGGGAGGAAATTAAATTTATCTTTAGCAAAATTTAATTAGATAGTCATCAAGGAAAGAAGATTTAAATAAAATTAATTATGTACTTTAGGATGTAGAAAGAGTCAAAACTGTCTTCTCTTTAAAATGTCAAAACTGGGTTTACTCTTTCGAGCCAAGTTTTGCAATAAAGTCCAGGGGGCAACAAGTGAATTTCGTTGTGGATTTTCCTTATTATTTCCAAGAGTGTTAAAATGTATTTGCTTCCACTGTGGGAACAATCTGTGGCCAACTTTGGAGGTTAGTTCCAATATGCTAAGCACCTCTCATATCCTGGAGCCAGGTTTGAGTCTTTTTTTTTGAAGTCTGTCCGGGAACAGGATTTGTCATTGCAATGGGACCTCAAGAAAACAAGGTTATATGGCAAGTTCTGGGTATACCAATGACTTTGTTGTGATTGAGGAGTTACAAAAAGCTGAAATTGTATAAAAATGTGAAGTTCTATTTATTATTTCTGTTGCAGTGGCTGGTGTCTGTGAAGATGTGTTTTTGATCTGGAAAGAGCTGGAGGAAGCCAAGAGTACAGTGACACAAGTTCAGGAAATCTTATCAGAATCTGACCAATCTGCTTCTCAAGATGGTATAATTTATGTTTCTTTCATAAGAAATACAGCTACCATTGTATTAGTGATCAACATCTTTTTGTGAACAGTTTTGATTGCACATGAGTTTGAGGATGATTTTCTCCAAAATGCCTGTGGACTGGGTATAGTACCTATGTGTCTATATAGCACTGTAATAGTTATCTAAACTTAGGATTGCTTAAAACTTTCTAGTACAAATTTCTGTTTACTATGGTTTAAGCTTGCTAAAGTTTAGCAGCTCAGGCTGAAACACAGTTTTAGTTTACCAGTGACTAGGTTTAGAAGTTACCTGGATTTTAGGATATGGAAATTATTTCGGGGTTTTTTTGTGATCTCTTCCTGTCTGCCTGAACCAATAAATCTTCAGTTTTTTCTGCACAGTGCTGGTGAAATACCTTATCCCTCTCCTATCACAGTCTTCTTGGGATAGCCTCCAACCTGGTAGCTAGTTCATTCCACATAAAGGGAAGAAGCAGAGGGGTTGCATTTTTGTCAAGGGCAGAGATCTGAAAACTATTCAGAAGAAGCACTCTGACAACTCCTGTCTTAAGAAACATAGAGGAACACCTACATTTTTTCTTCCAACCCATAGTTTCTGCCATTATGTTTGGCCTAGAACATGACTCATTTGTTGTTCTGTGCATACTGATTGGATTGAGCCCTGTTGGAGAGAGAAGTGTAGCTGGTTTCTGAAGTTCTGCTCTGGAAGGCTTTAACAAGGGACAGTGAGAAGCTACTCAGTCCTGCAAAAATGGAGATGCTCTATGTAAAGCATGTGGAAGAAAGAAAACAACAGTTTTCTTTTCAAAACTGTGTGAGCACATTTGTGACAGTTGTTCTAAGGACCACAGGCAATCATAAAGCAAAGTTTTCCACATGAACAGACTCTGATTGTGCACCTGCCCTGATGCAGGCTCATCTCGGTGTGTGTAAGGGCAGTAGATGCCTCCATAGGTTTATTTACAGGCTCAGGATCTCACTGGTGTGGTCACTGTAGCTGCATCTAAACTGAGTAGACCTTTATACCATCTTGGTCTACCAGAATTAAATAGTAACAAAATAAATTCACCCTGCTATGGGACCCACTGCCTTGTCATTTGGTCTAGGAGTGGTTTACTGGGATAGTGATGAGTCAATGAATAATCCTGAATCCTATTACTTTATGTATGTTATCTGTATACTATACTGGTGTCCAGAGTTGTGCAGGTCCCTAACTTAAGATAGTCCTTAGAAAATGTGTGAAACAATATGACATTGTAGTTTGCCTTTTACTTTAAATAGCCATCTCTAAACAGATTATTGTTATGCTCTTGACTGTATTTTCAATTATATCTTCTGTTGTTTCATTTTCTCAAATGAATCTCCTTGAAGTTAGACATTTTATTCAGGATTACTTTCTGGCATTTTGTAATTCAGCTACTAAGAAAATTTGTTTTATATGTTGATCCTCTCGCTATTTATTGTCTTTGCTCCCTGTCTTTTGGTGGGTTTTTTTTCCAATTACAAAAAAATTTGTTGCAGTGAGTTTTCTGATAAGAAAAAAACCCACAGCCAAAGTACAGACTATTAAAAATCACTCAGAAATATCTGTTTGCTCCAATGCTGTCAGAATAAGTAGAACAAGTTTGAAAATTTTGATTCCAGTATCAGTCTGGTTTTGAAAATAGCTTATCCAAAATGAACCCTGTTATATAGGAGATTGTGTTTATTTTCTTTATTAGCAGACAAAGGTGATCATCCATTATCAAAACATATAACTGATGAATATTTGACTTCTGAGAAGTGGTTGCAGACGTATGGCTTGAAAGCTCAGAAGCTCACACTGTATGATGCACTTGCTGATAGTGTTTTTCACCATGTAGAGGGGCCTGTTGACATAAACACGAAACCAGAGGATGAATGGTCACAAACTGATGCTGTGAGTATTGTTCATTTTCTCTCATGTCCTATGAGTTGCTTATTTTTAATTTTAAAGCTTGAAAACTTGGTTGATGGATAAATTGATAATATAGTGTATGGCGTTGTTGTTTTGTATTTTTTTGTTAAAATCAGATTATTAATTATTGAGACAGAATAACAATGTCTCAAAGAGCTTTTTGAGAATGACTGCTTTCAGGACTCCTTGCTGGTTCACATACATTCTAAAAGGAAGAATCAGGACTGGCTTAATCAATGCCTTGGTTTTCTTTGTATTTCTGTGGGCTGGGGCAAAGATTTCATGTTATCTTTAGAGGGTGTGTTAGTCTCAGATGCTGCAGTGTCCTCTAGTTTGTTAAGAAAATTTGGATTAATTTGTCTTCTATTTGTTTTTCTCAAGCTTTACTATTGACTGTTTGGTAAGCTTCTGGTTTTTGCTAGCTGCAAGAATAAAACCACTTTCTATTGAATCTTTATAGGAGCAAATTCTGTGAACACCATATCCTATGTTTATTTCTACTCCTGTTCATGTGCAACAAGCATGTATCTTTGAAGTTTGTTCCCCAAATATCAAAGGCACTGCAAAATAATATGTTTTCCATATGAAACGTGTTTTTCTGTTCTGTAGGAGACAAAGAGGAAGATAATTCATGCAAGATACTGTGACAAGTTTGTACATACCCTCTGGAAAGATGGATCTGTAGTTCATGTATATGTTACTACAGAGCAGTATAAGCAGTACAAAGAGAAAATGAGGACAGCTCTCAGACAAGTGGAAGGAAGGTTTGTGTTCTTTCACATAAAATCAGTTTGATCACTTTACATGAGTGTTGAAAAGTTTGACATTTACTGTCATAATAAGTTGAAGTGGTTGGTAAACTGACAGCAGCAGTACTAAGTCAGAAGTCTATTTTAAATCAGAATCTTGTATGTTGGGTTTCTTAGTAGCCATAGAAGAAAACTGATTGAGATTTTGAACTTTTGTTTTCCTTCTGAAACACAGGTGTGAAAGTCAGTCTGCACATTATTTGAATTACTGCTAAAAGTGCCAAAAAGTATTTGGGCTATAAGGTGGCAGACAACTTCAAGAGTCATCAATAAAACTTAGTAAACATTCATCTTGTGTACCTAGGATGCTTTGTGACACCAAGAAGCACAGCTTGGCTTGTGCCTGTACTGATGGTGGTTATCTGCCCTTTTGTAATTTTGTGTTAAAGACAAGTTTGAACAGTCTAGATCAGAGTCAGTAATGCACCTGATCACAAGTTCACTGCTCAAACTAGCTGTGTAATTTACATTTCTTCAGCCATATGGACACTTAGGTTTTACATGACATCTACAAAATAATAGGTAGTCTAAGGAAAACCTATTGTAGAACAGAAAAAAAAAATGCCCTCTGGTTTGTATATTAGGACAACAAGATGCCTCACTGAAAAAAGAAGGATGTGAACCTTTATATTATTGGTGAATTTTTAATTTTGTTTCTCCTTTCCAGCCAAAAATATAACAATCTGATTATATTTAGCAAGGTCAAACAGAGTTGTGTTATTCCTTCTAGTTTACCTTCATATTACTGTATTTAGGATAACAATTACATACTGTCAAAGGAAAATTTGAGATAAGGAATTGTGGTGAGCATGAATTTTTGAAATCCAAATCAAGATTGCTGTTTTGAATGTTTCATCTGAATGTTAAAAAGTCTTGGTAGACCTCATCAAACACTTTGGGTGAAATAAGTAATGACAAAATATATATCAGTAGCTACTGTAGCAGTATCCTTTTATTTCCATGTTAGAACTTTTTTGAAACCTTCTGTGGAGATGTATATTTTTCCCAGGGCCATGATGTTCCATGTGTTAAATGTCTCTGTTTGAGTGTAGATAAGTATTGTATGACTCCCAAGGGAAATCAGATTTGGACTTGCTGCATCCATTACCGAGGAAATGTTCTTGTGGAGAGCAGTATGTGTGCATGTATTTAACTGGCTGGCACATCCCAGTCCTGTTTAAAATGTAAATCAAACTCTGTATTTAAGGCTCAAGGTCCACAAACCATTGAAGCATCTGTGTTATATTAAGGCTCTTTGAAGTGCTTAAGTTCATTGGAGAAGAGATTCTCAAGTGGTTTCCTGAGAAGGGAGCCATAGTAATATAGGCTTAAATGATTTACTGAGATGAGTCTGGAAAACAGATACAGGGACCATGGTTATACCGCTTGTTCCATGTTGCTTCCACGTTGGATTTCCCAGCCCAAACTACCTGATACCTGACTTTAGAAAGGTGCTGTACTGTTTTCTATTGAAATAAAAAACTAATAAAAACCTAAAAATGTCTTGTGATGTAGGGACAGGGGACTGATTCATCAAGGGCTTCTGACAGTCATACAAACAGGTCCTTTGGGAAAGAGAATAAGAAGTATGGCAGTGACAAAAAGATCCTACCTTTCAGATTCTGATACACAGAGCTCCAAAGATGTTACAGAACAGGTTTTGATTTTTTTTTCCTCCCCCAGGATTAAGTGGCTTCAACAAGGAAGCAGAGGGCTTTTTGGGAATGTGTTTGAAGATGATATCTGTATTCTTATTGATACATCCCAGTCTATGAAAAACAAGCTGCCACTAGTGAAGGAAAAAATATTTCAGCTAATGCAGGTATGATAAAGGGATGACTCTGAAGGCTGAGGAACATTTTAGAGTAAACTGATCTTTTCTGGATAGTTGTTACTCTACTTTTTCTTTATTTTTAAAATTATTTTTGAAAACAGCAGCTTTATAAAAATATTTAGATTTTTCTTCATGTGCTCATTTTTTAATTAAGAATTTATATTTTCCCCTCATTTATACAACTATTTGAAAAAAGCAAGAGAAAATATTAAAAATTAAAATTGCTTAAGTCATTCTTTCCCTCAAGCCGCATCACTTCTAAAGAAAAGAAAAACAAGCCAACTAAAAAGCAAACAACAACAACAGCAAAAAAAGCCAGACCAAAAACAAGCTATGCAATGAAACGCCTTTCAGCGTTCTCATTTTCACTTTTAAGCAGTGTCATTCAATTCCATTGGCTTGTTGTGATTTGTAATGAGTGTTCTAGATTCACTTTCATGCTTCTGCAATAGAGGGTGTAGAATGCTTTGGACTTCCTTGCATTTTACAGTGACTCAGAACTTTGCCCAGGGACTGGCAAAGTGCAGGAGTACCTCAAAAGCTGTGAGTACTGGGAGACACACCTAAGAAAGGATTGTCTTGTCTACAATGATGTCACCTAAGCCTAATTAATATTTCAGAGACATGATTAATTTTAAATTTCTTTAGTCCTAAGAGAAGTAAGTGAGATGAAAATTCAGTCTGGCATTGATAGCAATCATTGGTAGGACTAAAAAATTGAAAGTATGACAGAGAGATTTTTGAGCTAAGTGCTCAAGTCATGGGACCTAGTATTTTGTGGTCCTCTAAGCAGATCAGCACTAGAAATATCTTAGATACTGTGCCAGAAGGTTTCTGCAGGAAGCTGCACACAAATTATGATGAAAAGGAAGCAAAGACTTCAGGCTCTGAAAGTTTGTACTTGCTTGCACAAATCTTCCCTAACATAACTTCTGTCCAAAAGTAGCTTTAGCAAAGTCTTGATTTTCTCCTGCTGTCCTAGTTCTCCTTGCCAGTGCTCTTTATATGATTCTTGTTCTCCTCCTCTAAATGATATCTTACTTTCTTTCTGATTTCAATTTCCTCTGGTAAGCAGTGATAATCTCTTCCTTACACCACTGATCATATCCAGTTTCATTTCTCTTTCATGCCCTCCTACACATTTGCTGTTTAAATTGTTTGAGAAATATGAGTGTATGGAGACTTACTTTGGGAATTTCAAGCAATCTTAACAGTTGAAAGTAATACGTGTCTCTGGCTTTGTATGTCTCTATGGACACCATATCTTTTAATATTGTTACAATAATCATATTCAAATATCAACATATTTCAATAATAATAATAACAATAGTAATAATAATAAAATAATATGTTATCATAATTTATTGCAATAATATAATTAATTCTATAATAATTAAAATAATTGCTATTACTCAGTATTTCAAGATACAAGTATTCTTTCTTTTAATAGTAGGTAAAATTCAGATGCTGTGTCTTGCAGGAGCAACTGAGACACAAGAAGAGATTTAACTTCGTGAAATTTAGTGCCCAAGCAGTGGCATGGCAAGAGAAACTTGTTGAGGTTAATGAGGAAAATTTGCAAGATGCTTGGCTTTGGATAAAAGGGCTTGAGGTGATACAGCAGCTAATTATTACAAAGAGTTTGTAATAAAGTGTGTTTGTTTCTTTATTTTTTCAAAGTTGTGTATGTTTCTCCACTTTCTGTATGACTGGGGTATTTTGCATAGACTGTCTTTGACTTGAGTAAGCTAACAATATAGATGATGGATAAAATTAAGTAGATCTGAATACAATGTGTTTTTCAGGTATAATAATCCTTTAACAATGGACCTGTTTAGGAAATCATATTAATTCCACTTGCTGCCTGCTATGTTTAGTAGCCAAAATGTGAGCATTGGCCAATTTGACTTCCCTAGGAATCCTGTAATCACTCAGACCCTGCTTTTAAATTTGTCATTCTTGCTGCAGGTCTGCTGCATGGATGAGGGGTGTTGCTGGCTAACTTACTGCTCAGAGGTGGTACAGGAGACCAAAACCAGCAAACTGGAAAAGAATTTCTAATCCCTTTTGATGGATAAACAGCTAACTTTAGGTGCCATAGAAACATGAGAACAAACATACTCAGACCAAACATCTATCTACCCAGTATTCTCTCTCTGACAGTGGCCAAAGTCTGAGTGTTTTTCCCTGAAACAAAGCAGAACTGCTGTAGTCAGTCACAGTGATCCACCATATTGTAACTATGAGCAGCTTTAGGACCATTAAATGTGGACAGCAATGTTATTAACACAGGACTAAAAATCAGTCATGCGAAGGTATAGATACATCCCACATTATGTTTTCTAGCACAAACCCCCATGTTCATGTAATAAAACTCCTCAGCATTATGACAGCTCTTCTTCAGCCTTAATATGAGATTCCTGGGCATGAGGAAGTTGGGTAAGCAGCATAGTGCCTCTGAGACTACAAAGCAAGATCAATAACTTGGTATTCTCAGAAAACACTAACAGACCAACACACAGAGAAAAGGAAGTATTATTGTGGCCTCCCTGAGCAGCTGAATACTTGTAACTGAGCTCACTTAGCCTTATTTTGCTGCTCTCCCTAAGGCTTGAAAACTTGTCTCTGCTTAAGTCATGAATATTGTACAGCACTATGAAGGTTCAATAATACTTTGAACTACCATGTTTTGATACCATCTTGTATATGCATTAGTGAATGGCCTTTTCCATCCTTATTCATAAAAATATGAATTTTTGATTATAAATTTCATTCTATATTCAGATCTAGATATTGAAATGGAATAGGAAATGGCACAAGAACAGGCTACTTTCTTTCAGTGATGATATGTGCTGCTGACCTTTTAACCTCTTTTAAGCATTGCAGGCATAAGTCTGAGATCAAAAAGCTGTCTTTGCAGTGAAGGTGAAATGAACAGAGGGTTGCTCTGGAATATTATTCAGAGTAGATCCTTTGGTCCCATTTTATGCTCTTTGGTCCCAAGATTATGAATAAGGAAGCTGAGCTGTAAACAGTAACTAACTGCTCCTTAAAAATCCTTTAAATGTAATGACATCTAAAATTTTAGTGGTAGTACTGTCATATAGTTGAAATATGTCATTGTTGTTTAAACACTGATAAAACTGGTGTTTGTTTGTAACAGTAGCAATTGAGAAACCTAAAATGAACCATAAGGTATGGAGTTATTTTCTTTTAAACGTTTACCACAAGGTACAGGGTTATTTTCTGCACATCATCAGCATCCACCCTATGTTCCCATGATGTAAAAAGAAGTGAAGGAAGCTGTTTTGTTTTAAATCAGTTTGGCCAATTTAAACATGGTAATGAGCGATATGTCGAAAACTTTATAAATACTAAAACATCAGGAGTATTAGATAAATTTAACAACTTTGGCTGGTTATTTCTTATGAGTGGGTACTGATAAGAATTGCTTGTGGGTCAGAAGATAAGACAATTAGGTAGATGAGCTATCACATTGCCTGGCCCGTACACTCTTATGTAGCCATACAGAGTAACTGTCAGAATGTACCTTCTATTCCATTTCACCTGATTTCCTTTGCCCTGGTGGGAAGGACTGGAAGAAATTTTAACACAGGTAATAGGACTGAAGAAATAATTATATCTCTTAGCATATATTTGCATGTATGGATCAATGTTAGATATATATATTTATCTTCTGCAATGCATTATATCCATGGATGCTGAATCTCTTCTTACACCACTACAATCCTCACTGCCCTCCAGAACAGAACTCAGGTGTTATGCAAGCATAAAACAGACTCTTATCTTTTTAGAGGTTTTGCTTTGGTTCCATAAAAGACTAAGACTTGATGAAATGTTTTTTATACTGGTAAACCTTACATGTTCCTTTAGTTTGGAAGGTTTTGTACACAATGTTTGAAAGGTGGACAGCTAAGATGCAAAATGTAGGGCTTAGGTTCCTAAGCCATGAAATGCACTTAATTGAATTTAGTGTAAAAAGAAGAAAGGCAGATCATGATCACTGAGTATGTGAATGACATAGGAAAAGTGCTATTATTACTCCAGTGGAAATTTTTAGTGAGCACAGCATTAGTTTGCTGGGCATGTTTTGTTGCTAACTTTTTTGTGCTAAAGTATAAATGATAATTACATTAATGTGTGAAAGGGGTAGATGGGAGAGAGTCTGGAAAAATATGTTTGGAAAACCAAGAACAGTTTTATTTGGAGAAATAAAATTGTGCAACTCTTTTGAGCAACTTTTGAACTGTTTGATTAAGTAAAATATGTCTTTCAAGGGAGTGTGATGAGTTGGCAAGCAGGAGCATCAGTGGTAAAACGAAGAGAACGCATCTTTTGTCTTACATCTGCCTATCTGTTTATAGTCTTTTAGTGATTGCTTTTGCTTGTACAGCCCAGATTGCTGCTGCCAGCATTTTTCTTCTGTGTGTTTGCATAAGCACTGAATACCAATCTGGTATCAATTTATTTTACATTGACACTTGCTTAGCTTTTGTTAGCTACATGACATAAATGTTTTCACCATTTTATTAGTCATTTTGGTTCTGTATTATCCCTTGAATCAGTACACTGTCGTTATGAATTTAAGAACAGATGCAAAGAATTGTTTGTATTTATAGCTGTTTCTTGGTCTTTTTCTCTTTGGTTTCTTAGGTTGGAAGTTCCACAAATACACTCAAAGCTCTCCAGATTGCTCTTGCTGATACTGACACTCAGGCTATTTATCTCTTGACTGATGGGAGACCTGACCAGGTATTTCAAAATGAGAAAACAGAAAATGCAGAAAAGAGGTGTCAGCAGTTGGAATTATGAGATGAATGTCATACCTGCAGTGCTGAGTCTTGTGGAGTCTCTTGGATGTTTATTGGCCTTGTTTCACAGTTTTTCTAGCTAAGAGCATAAATTAATATTTTACCAAAGAATAATTTGGCTTCCTGTACTACTCATATTCTTATTTTTAATATTTTATTAAGTTCAAAATTAGGGAATAAGTAATTTCTTTTTACCCTATTAATAATGTATTTTATACCTTTTTAACAGTTAAATAAAGGAAATGGCTGATGTTGCTTTTAAGTATTAAAGTTCAACCAACACAAGTATTATATTGCAAACATTACTTAATTTGTCAAGATTTTTGAGTATTTTGAACAACTGAAATGTTATCAGAATTTAGAGAACTGAGTCAATAATTTTTTTCTACCAGATCCTTCAGCATTTTTGGAGATGGTAGATCTACTTTTTCACCTAATATTTATTTCTTTATGGGAGGAGGAAACTAGCTTTCCTATTTTCTCAGCCTCTACTTTGTTTCCTGCTATTGAATTAACTTTTCTTTGAACTAATTCGATTTCTTAAGAAGATCCACACTCATATACTTCCAAAAATGTTTTATATATATCCAGTGATGCTAAACACTAATGTAGTAGTTTAATTTCCTAAACATTAGTAATTTATTTTAAAACTTCAGAAACAAAGAGTACTGATTATATTACAATTTACATCATGTGCCTTAATGCGCTTATCAGTCTTTCAAACACAGTTTTAAATTAGCTCATTTAGCTAATTTCTGATTGAAATAGCAATCTGTATAAAGTGCATACTTTTAACTGTTCTATATCTGTCTCTGAGCAACAGAACAACTGATTAAATTGTTACAAATTCTCCATGCTTTGATGAATATGTTTCTAGATGCCACATTTTTAACATAAAGGTTTTTTTGATTTTCAGCCCCCCCAGATAATTTTGGCTGAAGTCCAACTTCACTGTAAAATTCCCATCCATACTGTATCCTTCAACTGTGATGATGTAGAAGCCAATAAATTTTTGTATGATCTATCTACTACAACACAGGGACGGTTTCATTATTACAACATTTATTTGAATGATCCTGATACTCCAGAGTTTATTTTTGTGAGTATCTGAAAATCAATATATTTGCTGCTTCATGCTACTTTGGAAAGCCACATGACTTGCACTATTGTGATTTCATATTACAATAGATTACTGAGAAAGAGAGGGTAAATCCTAGTCAGATTTGACATGATATGAAAGCAATAATATGATTGTTTTCTGGTAAAATTTTTCTAGACAACATCAAAAAAGGTTAAGTATACTGCAAATTACATTTGTAATGCTATCGTTGCAAACACACTCTCCCTCTCCTGATGACCCCTCTTGAAAACTAAAAGTACATGTAGACCAAATCAGCTCTGGAAGAAACATGTCATCTGTGCTGTTTCAGAAATAAGTTACTGTTTAAAATGAAACATGGTTTGTATCCTGTTAATAAATAAGAGAATGCAGAGCTGAATTTGAATGATAATGATTCTATGGATTTTTGTTACAAGTTTGTTCTGCAGTAGCTGCTTGGGAGAGATCTATGAGAAGTAAAATGACTAGAATAGCAATCATTTATCAAGTGTGACTGAGCAGCTCAACAATCCACAAGAGGAAATTTCTGAATAGACTAACAGAAACACCCATTTGAAACATTCTTGCTTTTAATTAAAATTAGCACTCAGTGAACTAATTGCATATATTTCAGAAATGGTGGTAGTTGAACTACGAGGACAAGACAGTACTGGGAAATTTGAACTTTACAGACACCAATTAGAATGAAGATGTGAAAATAATCCAGCTTTTGAAAAATGTCACTGTACTGGGCAATTTCAGTGATTCTGCTGGTGTGGACTGTGTGACACTGCTCACGTTGAAAAAACGAGGGCCAGAGTCTGTGTTGTACATCTCCAGACATGGACATGGGAGCCTGTGGTCCTGTGGGAGCTGTACAGGGATCATTGTTGGAATTTCCTTCCTGTTTCCTCCTTTAGCCTAAATGATTCCTAGTCAGTTCCAGTGTTCATCTGAAGAGTATGGTTTTTGCTTCCTTGTGCCTGGGAATACAATGTGATACAGCTGAGATCTGTAGAATAACAGGCAATGTACCTTGTATTGTATTTTATTTCTTTGCTTATTTTCTTGCTTGCTTGAAATGATTGGAGCTAGTGACCTCATTACCTTATTCAGAAACACAGCTGTTCATATCTCAAGGGGAACTGGCTAGTAAGGGAATGCTTGCCATTTTCCTAGAAAGGAAGAATAATTTGAAAGGCTATAATGCCAAGCACAAGAGCTTACCTGAAAAAGTATACAAGATTTGGAAGCTGTCCTGAATCATTATTCAGAATTATTATCAGAACTTGCATCATTTCATTTCAGAAATGAAACATATTTTGGAGTAATTGTACTAAAACATTTGATTTTCTTTTTGTTAGAATAAAGACATATATCTTTTGAAAAGAGAAATTGATCAAGGAGAGAAAGATCTAGAGAAAGTGAAGACCTTTCATGAGAAAAGTCTGATGATGAATTCTTATAGTGAAGAAAATTTTCCAGATGATAAGTATGTCCTCATTGTGTTGTTATGTTAATGAGAGATGTGAACGATCTCTTACATTTTTCCTTTTTAAAAGATGTTGTTGCTTTCTTACTCTCAGAGTAATGGAAAAGAAAAATCTGGAAAAAATTAACTAATACTGTGATGCCTGAAACAAAATTATCTCAAATATACCAATAGTCTCAACATATTGCGAATAATTAAAGCAAAGAGGGGAAATGATTTTTTTGTCTCCAACATGTGGTAAAATTGCTCCCTCTGACCTAGAGAATTCATAAAAAATTATTGTCATCTAAGTAGAGCTGCCTTGATACCTCCTTACTAAATGGCTGCTCATTGGAATATGCTGATTGAAACATGAATTATGGACAAATACACTTGTGTATTTATTTATGCAGTGATACTAAAATAATTTAAAAATGCATTAAAAGAAATCAGATTTCTAAGACAGAAATCTATTTAAAACAGTAAAAGAATGAAAATAAAGTAAAAATTATTACAAGTGGACAGTGATGTGTTATGATTTCATGTATGAAAGGGCAGGTAGGATGTCCAGTATGAAAATGTTTTAAGTGCTTATTTCAGAATTTGGATATTATATGTTTTATTAATGCTGGGACATAGATATATATGTGTGTATATATATATGTGCATAGGTATGTATGTGGCAGATATTCTCGTTGCTGATGGTAGTTACTTAGCCCTGGGATTCAAAGTAGCTATTAGAGAGCATTCTGTTCTTATTCCAAATACATGAGTGTTATCCTAAAAGTAATGAACATATTTTAAATAAACTAAGAAATTGCATTTCAAAAATTAAAAAACCTAAGAATATTTTAACCTGCTTTGAGCTTTCCTTTGAAATGCATATTTGTATAACAGAAAATATTTTGCACTGTTCAAAGCATTTTAAATCAGTGTTTAAATTGCCAGAAAACTTCAGTTTAGTGTTATTTAAACTGGTGTTGTATATTTGCAGTAATTTATTTTTGTCACTGACAAGCTGTAATCACAAGCAGACACACTATGTCCCTGTTTCTAAACACATTGAAGAGCTGAGTACTTCTCTCAGGAGTAGGCCATGCTGTGCTTCAGAAGAACCATCAGTGCCATCACATGAGCAAACCAGGCAAAGCACTGCTGCCAGTCCAGCCCAAAGAAAGAAAGCATTATATGCAGGTGAGACTCATATGAGCTGTAATTCTCAGAAGAATTCATTCACTAACTTGAAAAGATTCTGTTGCAAATAGCAAAAATCATCCCTCGTTTTGGGAACAAATTGATAGTTTCCTGACTTAAGTAATCATCATTTTTAAAATCTAAACTTCTCTTCATCACTACTTTTCAGCCATCCTACTTATTTGGTGAAAACAGACAAACAAATGTCTGCTCATATGTGCTTTGTCACAGGCCCTGCCATGAAAAAGTAGCTATTTTAGCAGAATGTTTAGAAAGCTCTGTAAACAGTTTTTTAACAGCAGATATTAAACCCTAATCTCTTTTTATTCTAAGTACATAATTGGCAAGAATGAAGAGGTGATCTATATTTTACCAATTACAGCATTACTTACACTAATGTTTCCCCTTACTACACCCATAATACTACATTTCTCCTGGAAGTGTCCTTTGTATGCAGTCTGAAACTAAATTTACCCAGCTGAAGTAAAATAAACCCTCATCTTTGGGGAAAATACAAAGTACAACTTAGCATTGAAGTAGTTTTCTGCTTGATGTATTGTGTAGGCAGTCACTTAAAAATTGAATGCCAAAGAGGAACTCAAAAATCTGAGCAGTAAGTTAGCTCTTCCTTTCTTTCCCTTTCAACAACTACAGATCAAACAAAGTCAAGTCTGCTGCAATTCCTGAACCGTAGTGTGAAATTTAGGGAAGAAAGCCCAGAGGAAGGAGTGTCTCCAGAGGAAAAGAGTTTTTCTGTCAAAAAGGGTGTGAAATGTCCAACCAATTTCAAAGGCAAGTTGTCAGAACAAGAAGCTCTGACTGGGGAACATGGTAAGGTTTCTCCCATTACATTTGTAACTAGTGGTGCCTCATTTGAGGCAAAGCTGTGGAGATCTGCAGTACAAAGGAGTGAAACTCAACAGAGATAGAGTTGGACATGAAGTTGGGTATTGTGAGAGTGTCCTTACAGCTGTGGCCAGACTCCTGCCAGTTCCCAAACTAGGCTTTTACAACTGGGTTTTCAATGGGACTTAGAAATACATCAGGATAGTATTAATTTCTTTCAGTAATTAGTCCAACTCTGAACTTTATGATACATCTTCTAAGTAATTCTAAAACCTTACCTATGACATTTGAAGATGTTTGACTTTTTTACATTTCAGCATCTTATGTTTAGTTTTTTACATGTCTTTTATAGAGCTTTTCATAGTGGTGTACCTTAAATTAGCTACTCCTGGCCATCTCATTAGTGGTAGTACTTGGTGTTACATCTTGACTTGGGAAGTAAGCTGGGTAATCTATGGTCTTGGTCAAAAATAAATAAACTGGAACAAATTCCAGTTTAAAAAACAAATTGCCTTCCTATTTTATAAATTTCTTCTCTGTCTGATTAGAGCTCATGAGGCATGTAGTAGCACTGTTACTATTGATCATGCACCAGGAAGGCAAGGAAACTAAAACTAATTTTCACTGATTAATTTAGCAGCTGAAATGTTATACAGTTGTGCATGATGCTGCTTGTAGGCTCAAATAAAAAATGATGCTATTATATGGCAACTAATTTAGGCATACTTTGGTGTGCACAAAACCTCTGAGATAACAAAATGCAAATGTTTTCTCTTAGATCTGAAAATGCAGGCTGTGAAAGGGGCATCTGAAAGGTACGTGTGTGCATATATAAATGCACAACAAAATTTAGATTTTACATATTTTCTTCAGTCATTTCAAACCTTTCAAATGTGTTTCTACCTTGAGCTACATCTCACAGTCTCTCTTTTCTAGCTCTCTAGATGTCTCTTCAGCTCTTTGGTTAAAGACCCATGGGTTGGCTGCTAGGAGACTCACCATCATGGATGCCTTAGCTCCTACAACTGTCCTTCACAGTACAAAATACATCCCAGTTCTGGACAAGCATGTGGTTTCTAAAGTATTTGATAAGGTAAAACTTCTATACTGTTTGAAAGCTAGAACAAAATTTGACAGTGTTTTCAAAAGGTTTTTTAAAATTAATCTCTATGAATGTCATAATAACGTTTTCTGGTATTGTAGATTATTGATGTACACTAAATTTGTCATGCATATCTGAATGTTCATTCATGCATCAGCAAGAAGGTAAAACTGATAGTTAGTAGTATGTCTTGCATGCTTTACCCTTAAGTTCTTTCACAGTTACCAGCTGATGTCAATGTGTAACCATTGGGTGTTTGGCAATTTCTTGAGCATTGCATCCTCCACTAATATTTATTAATTCACTGGAGGATGTCTATTCTTCCATAAAATCATCTGGAAAAGGGTACTGGTGCACATTTTGTGGATTTGTGCATTCTCAACTTTTACATGGGACTGCTGAGATATTTTGAAAAGTATTGTCGTTCAGGAATTAAAATTAAATTTTGAGAGCTGTAAGGCAATTGGAAGATTATATAAAATTGTGGAGGAATTTTGTGTCATAAAGTTTAAATTGCTATTCCACTTACAGGAAATCCATTTCATGGTAAATTCCTCTAATTTTTCTTGTGTGATGCATCCTGCCAAATGATGCAGGATGCATCACACAAGAAAAATTAGAGGAATTTGCCTTGGATATGCTGCAGCTCCTTTCAATTAATACAAACTATTTCTTTAAACAATGCTCAAACAGAAAGCTAGCCTTTTTTAAAAGTAATAAAGAAAGAAAAAGGGGATTTTAATAGAATTTTGTATCGATTTAAGTAAAAAATTTATACCAAATGTACACAATTTTACATTTTAAAGTATTGATGCTTGTTTTTTAAATTTAGGAATGGGAATTTTTGCTAAAACAGGCAGACTGTAGAAGAAAAACCAGTTCCTCTCTTTGGTAAAACCAGTTCCTCTTTTTGGTAAAACCAAGTCAAAATCAAGATCTGTAAGGACTTTTTTTTAAGTGTGATTTTTTTAAAAAATAGAACTAAAAGATATCTTTTTATACGAGAACATTTTTAAGGTGCATTTTAACATTTCAGATGTAAAATCGCCATTTTTTCAAAAGAATTCAAAGAATTCAGACATTCAATAGTTACAAAACTGTGCAAAACAATCTACCATAAATGTCAAACAAAAGACATTGGGAATTGCACAAAACTCTCACATCTCCTTTGTGAGTAGTCACTTTTTTTTCCATCTTCTTCTGAATATATCTGAAAGGTCCTCTTTCTTCCATGTTTCTCAATGAAAAGCCCTTGGAGTCCTTTAGAGACAACCATTGCAAAAAATAAAGCAGTCTGTAAAATTGTCTTTGAAAGTAGCCTGAATTATGATTCAGCAAGTGCTGTGTACAAGTAGTTTTTAATAGCAAATCATAGGAGCTCCTGGTAGTCTAGTTTAGACTGAATTAAATTCAGTGTTATTTGAATTGACAGGTGCTGTACAGAATCCAAACAGTGATCCATGGGCTTTCTTTAGACTCAGTGAGGTAAAAGCAAAATAATAGTTTTTGTAATTTCTTCATACCTACTAGTCTCCATTAGTTGTAATAAGACACTCAGTTTCTCAGGCAGTGGAGAATTATTTTTCTATGTGTAAAGGAATGGGTTTTTCTGGATCTGAAGCTGAGTATGGAAAAGAAAAAGAAGGTTGAGAGTTGCACACAAGGTGAAAGCAGTAGAATTTTTGAGCCACAGAACCCACTTGACCTCAAGCTTCAAGCCAGCATATCAAGAAAATAGGGTGAGACTAGACAGTGAGCTTGAATGGGAGACTTTCAGGATCTTGATTATTCCCATACTTCAGAAGATTCCATTGAAGATAATAAATGTACAGATAATTTTCCATTCTTCCTTCTGAGATCCTGGATTTCTTGGTGTGGAATGCAGACATCCTTGTCTGCTTTTCAGGGGGTAGTATAATTTTATTTTTGGCCTTTGCTGGCAGTGATGATGGAATAAGTATGAACAGTTTTCTTATCTTGGAGATGCAGCAAGAAAAAGGTTTCCATGACAACTGTTCATTAACAAAAGGCTGACCTGTTGTTTTCAGTTCTGTGCTATCTGTCAGTTTCACCTGAGTTATTTCAAAGAGGCTAATGTATTAAACTACACATCCAGGTTCATATTCAGAAAAAAATATAGTGGCTTGGGAGCTTGTCTAAATTATGCTATGTTAATTCTGGAGGAAACCTTCCCTGTAGAATCATGAAAATTTATGTTACAGGCTGTGGCATCTAAGTGCAGGTTTGCAAGTCATGAAGTTTTGACTCAGTGCTTTGCTCAAAAGAATTAGATTCAGCCAACAAAACCATCTTTCTTTGGTCTAAAATAAGAACATTTTTTATATGGTTATTGCGCTTTGGTTTTGTCTTTAAGATTTTGAAATTTGAGGTTTGAAATAAAAGCCATTTTTAAACAAGGGAATTCCTTTAGTGTAAAAGTTAAAGTATTTAATTTAGAAAATGGAAAAACATTTTGGCAATAAAAAAATTTCTGTGTGATTTCTATCAGCTGAATCTGTCAAATTTCACTTGACTTTGTGAGCAGTTTTCATTGTTCTCAAATTATGGATAGCATTTCAAGTTTAGTATTTTCTAAGAGCACATTCCATTCTGGTTTTTGGCTTCAAAAGTGTTACAATGTGTTTATGCTTGTCTGGTCCTTCTATTCTATACAAAATATTTTATAAATCGTATAAAATATTCATGTTGCAAATTATGCTGTTTGTACTTTAAATTCCTCTCAGAATTTGTAAGGCTATGTAGACGTGAGCTCCTACATGGTGCGGCCCTGCTGAACTTCTGTTAACTTGGTTTGAGTAACATCATAGACAGCAATCATGGCATTACAGAACTTGAAGGGGTCATCACTTCCCTGCCTGTCAGCTTTCAAACTTCACCTGGAAATGACAAGTAGTCAGACATCACTGCTCAGAATTATGGGCAGAGATTTACCTCATCCGTCTTGCAAGATGCTTTCACTGACATGTTCCCATTGTCTTTAGCTTCTAAGTGATTTTAAAATTAATTTCATATTAGGAGCTTTGATGTGGTCTGGCGCTGATGTGACACAGATTTATTAATCAGAGAGATGCTGTCCTTAGAAAGAGAGGGTCATATAAAGCCACACTGCTGGTCTTAAAAAATTATTTTTGTTGCAATTTGAAATCCAGCTATGCTGAGATGATTCAAACACAAGTACAGCATTACTGAAAAATGTTCTCAGTTAAATAATTCTCCTTATTGTTCTATTTCCTGATAGTTTGTCTTATTCCCCCAACAGGGATTTTAGAGTAGTGTAAATTGAACCTCATCCATGTTTTTCTCATCTATATCCTGATCTCAGACAGGCACTTGGGGAAGATTCCCACTCAGTCATATGCGTTGAAGACAGTTAGAGGGAGAGTAACACTCTCTTTCCTCTGCAGTTTCTTCTTTGGATTCCTTTTTGTTTATATTCAGCATCAAGACATTGATATGTAAAACAGCTATTTGTTTACAAACTACTGAATAATTTAATGGGCTGAAAGATGGTGGGACTTTGGATGAGAATTTGGAAGGCATCTTTCCTCCTCTTTAGTCATCCATTTCTAGCCTTTTCTCTGCCTCTTGAAGATCTACTTGCAGTGGTATTATTTTTTTTTATAATGAAGTTGAGTTATGTAGGTGTTGTATTGGGAGATTTTGAAAAATATTAAAGTTCCTGATTCTGATGAACCTGATTAGGTTCCTAAATAGTCAAGACAAGTTTTGGTGACCAATGTCCACCTTGTTTGCTCTTTGGTGATCAGTGGGATGGTGAGAAATACCTCTCTACAGCTTTACTGCTCTAATCCCTTGCTAAAGAAAGTCCTCCAGAAAGAGCATTAAATACGTTTAAATATCTACTCTCACAGCTGTATGCTACAATTAGGTGCTAGAAAGCATGAGAGTGTTTTAAGGCAGTAAAACCTGGAAGATGGTCATACACTAGACATATTTGTTTCCTTCTGACTTACATTATTAGAGTGAGTTATTTGACAGTACTGATTCAGTTAGAATTACTTAGTAGTTAGGAATCTTAATTTGTAACTTCTTCATAATAAGATTAATTTTAGAAGAACTGGCTGGAAACTGTTTCCTAATTCTGACATTAGTGGTGCTTAGATTTTTCTTTCTGCAGCTTCCAGTGTTCCTTCTGGTTGTTCTGAGCCTTGGCACTCAGTCATTCATAAATTTGTATGATAAATGATATCTGTGTCTTTCATTGTATGATAGATGTTACCATTGGCCTGTGTTAGCAGTGACAAGAAGGAGATTGCACTAATTAATCCTTGGGCAGTGAATCTTGATGCCTATAAAAAGAAGCTGGAACAAGCAATTATATCCTATGAGAGGCAAGTCTACTCACCAGAAATTTATTATGGTTGCAGTCATATTTCAGTTTTTTTCTCAGGTACTCAGTATTTCCTCACACATGCTTTGCTCAATATTGATAATTCTGCATGTTGACACACTTTAATCCACCATCAACGTGTAGGAGAAATTTTATTTTCTTAAAAAAAATCAAAGCAGAATGTAAAAACAGATAATAGGCAAGGAGATAAGTAACAACATGTTGCTCATATTATGTTTTTTCAGTAACAAAAGCAAAATTCTTTTACTTTTTGGGAGCAAACCTGAAACCAGTCATCCCTCAGGAGGAATTTGGCCATAAACATACAATGCTAGCCAGACTTGTAATTTAAAACTAAGCTCCTACATCAACAGGTTGACACTCAAATTAAGGACCCCTTTTTTGCTGCCAGCTCTCTATCACCCAGGTATGCATGCAAAAATATAACTGAGGCACCAGTAAGAAACTGACAATTTAAATTTGGTGAATTTTTTTTTGAGAAGCATTTATATGTATTGTACTTTTAAATCAAGTGTTAGTAAAAACACAACAGAAGTAAAGAGGAAAAAGGCCTTAGATCTCCAAACTACTTGTTTCTATGATCTTTGTGCAATTTTTAAAAAAATAATGCAGTTGACTAAAGTGTAATTCAGTAATCATATGAGAGCTTTGACTTGAATTATTTTAATAAATATTTTTAGGCTGTATTCTAACAACATTTACAAATGTAATTATTTTATATGACCAAAACCCCCTTGATGACAAGTGTTTAGTCCTTGGTTTTTGATTAATTCCACAGGGGATCTTTAAGGTTTGAGATTATTTTCCTTGTTAGCTATATGATCATCCAGTTCTTTCTAAAGCATGTTATAGCTTTCTTTTTCAATCCTATTATCCTAGATGGATCTTTTGTGATAAAGTCAAGAAATTTGATTTGAAAATGCTCTTCATATGTCTAGTATTAATGGAGTTCAGTGAATAAAAGTCTCTTGTTTTCTTTTTTCTGTCACTGAGACAACACTGTTGTTATCAGGCTGATGAAGAATTAATAGAAATTGATTTGTCACTCATTTTAATAGAAGGTTCAAGCAGTTTATTTGTGATGGTGAATTCTGAAAAAAATTCAAGTTTTTCATTGCTGTGCCATACCATTGAATGTTTTACATTTACTGACTTTGATTTTAAGGGAAAGAAAATAGTTTTCTGGTTAAAATCTGATAGCATTGACACAGTCTCCCTAAGACTTTGATCATAAGGATTGCTGTTTACTTCTGTTTACCAACAGAGATCAATGAATCAGTGTATTTACAATAGTAGGATTGAGTTCCTACTTCCATGAAAAAGAGGTATAGAAGACAAATCTACCTAAAGATTCTTATAATTGGCAAAAAATGCAAAAAAAAAAAAATCTCTTTGCTTTTTCTCTACCTGTAAAACAGCAAGCCAGTCAGTTTTTTGTTTAATCTAGATGTCACAGCCCTTTTCTAGTAACTGAACTTCCAAAAGCTGCACTTCAGCTTTGTAAATAGTGGTTGGTCACAAATTTATTCTGATATATGTAGAGGAAACAATACATCAGAGCATCCAGGTTTCAAGCACAGAAACAAACATGCCAGTATTTTCCCCAGATGCAGATTGAGTTTAGCAATAGATTTAGAGGGAGAAAAGTGGCAAGGGCAGAATTTTTGTAGACTGACAAAGAGAATATACAGTATTAAAGGAGAAAAACACTGAAAGTTTCATGATTTTGTAGAGCCAGAAGCTTTTATACCCAACTGTTATGGGTGTGCAGATTTAGAAGGATGAAATAGGCATTGAAGCATGCTGAGACTCTATATAGGGAATGAACTAAGTATTCTTAAAATGCTGGGATTTAGTTTCTGGTAGATAAAATGAATCATCAAGAATTTAGTCTTCAGAATCTGTTGTTAATGTGCTTTTTTTTTTTTGTACATGCACCAGTAAATCTGGCCAGACTACTTGTAGTTAGTCAGGTTGCAATCTGAATTTTTCCTAGCAATGAATTTGTTCTTGTACCCAAAGGAAATTCAGAAATTTTTTCTAGAATTACAGTAATTGGGATCATCAGTAGAGGTTTATTTCTATAGCTGAAATACAGTAATTGAGTGATGGCTTGTTTGGGCTGTTAAGCTAGATGATCTTGTAAGAGTTTAAAATTTCTGTCTTAAAAAGGAAAAGCAGAAAGTTTAGTGATGCTTTTAAAAAATCTCAGAACTGCATTGCTTTGGGATAATCACTTCTGTTTTCCTGTCAGTAGTTTGTTTTCATAGCCAGAGTTTAATGAATTAGAAACTTGAATGGCACAACTGAGGGATAATCTTAGCAGGGAAAAAAAAAATAGAAATTAGCATTTCTACATTCAGACTACATTTTCTGAAAATGTTTAATTGGAGGAACTGTGCATCTTAACTGGCATTTAATCAGTTTTGTTATTTGATTTAACTTGCTGGTGCTGAAGACAACCATCCATAGAAAATCCTGGCAGGAAGCAGCAGTGATTGCCATTAAACCTTCTATGACCCTGAAACAGTCATGCTGTTATTTGATGGAAGATACTGCTTTCCATCTTCTTTTGCAGTTGATAATTTCATAGCTGAGTGATAAGGATACAATTTGATGATACGGTGTGCTTGGAATACAAATCAGTGCAGATATCTTAAGAAACTGTGTTTATTTGCTAGTTTTGAGATGATCAGCTGCACAAGGACTGCATTCCCTCAAAAACTGCTTTCCTTTCTTTAATAGGCGCCTGAACCTAGTTATTTGGAGAGCACTCTCTCAGGAGGAAAGAGACAAGTAAGCTATCACTTTTGGTTTTCTAATGTGCCTCTGAAGGTCATAAATATTTGGTGGATTGTTATCACTATTTCTATAACCAACCAGTTTTAATTTTCACCTATTTCATAAATATACCTTGTTTTCAAAAATGTATATATGATATGGAGTAATACTAAATTCTGGACCTCCTTTTTGTGGTGCTGATTATTTTTAAGAGAAAGGACTTACATTCCATTTGAATTTTGCTTCTCTATCCTTTATCAGTGTCAAATGCAGGGCCTTGAGAGGGCAGTGTGTCATTGCTTTTGACATCAAAGTAAATCTCCTCTCATCCTGTAAAGAGCTCTCTAGTGGCTGGTTTGTTAAGGTGTAATAAGCACCTTAAAAGCGTGTGCTGGAGCTGTATATCACTCTGGAAGTTTGTACTATGTTAGCCTATTTTTTTCGATTGATTTAGAAAAGTAATTGCTGTATAAACATCAGTGAAGTTAGCATCTGTTTGTGCCAGAGAATAAGGCAAAGATCAATTAATGAAAACTGAATGTGTCTGAAACAGTTCTTCTCAGAAAAATGGAAATGAAAACTAGAATGCTTTTAAGAAGATATAAGCTAATGAGTAAAAAACCTACAGTTTTATAATTTATAAGGAGAACTAAAACCTCATTCTGGTGCAGAGAGGAAATGAAGACTGTTAAACAAAACAGCATGTAATGAAAAAAAGGAAATAGTTGTCTCTTGATAGACAGTGAGTTGCAAAATATAAGAATTTGACAGGGTGTCATCCACAATGTTTAATTATTGATAACATATGGCCAATTATACATGTAATGAAAAAAATGTCATAGCAATTGCACAGTCTATTGCTAGAGGAGCATATAAATCATTATGGTATTGTGCATAGGTATTAAAATGTTTGATTTATTTTTCATAAATTATGACACAGCCACTTGAATTTCTCTGTAGCTGTGTTTCTATAAGATGTAGTTGGACCAGGCATGATTGTTCCACCAAACACAGCAGTATCTGGATGAAATGCAAGAACTTGTAGCATATAGAAGATAAACTGGGGAAATGTGGTTCTTTATTCTGCCTTCACAATTTGTGACTCTATCTGTAGAGCTTTTAAACTTTTTTTTACAACTTTTCCTACTTATGATTATTAATTTCTTTAAAAATATATATTTTTTTAAGATTTGAAGCAGACGGGCCAGTCCCATATATACAGCATAAAGAAACTTTGCTGGAGGCTTTAGAAAATTTGGGATGGCCAGTTTCCTATGAAGATGTAAAATTGTTAGAAGATGAGATATTGACAGCATTAACATATATACAACAAGCCTCTGATCTTCAGGAAGCTGTCAAAAAGGAAATTGAGAAAAGCTCAGTATCATACATAAGCAACAATAAAAAGGTAATACATGGGAAGGGATTTTTCCCCTTAGATATTCCTCTTCACTATGTACCTCTGGAATATTTTTTTTCCATTAACATAGGTGATAAAGTAGAATTTTAGCGTGATGCTAAATAAAATGGATAGAGGAAAGAAGTTTGTTAAGAAGAGAGCAAACTTTCAATTACTTTGTTTAAATATTGGGGAAGTTCTGAAGCTTCAGAGACAGCCACAGAAATTGAGCCTCTTAGAAGTAAATCACAGCAAAGGATCTTTATCTCTGCTGTAATGATAGCAGGAAAGAGAAATAACAGATATATTAAAGGCAGTCTAGATACAAGATCTGTTGTTGGGTTAATATCTGATAAACAGGACTAAAAGGTATTCTAATATTAGAGTGTGATCACTGTGATCTTCTATGGTACATTTATTGTAAAAAATATAGAGAGAAGAGGTGGGATTCAGCTTCATTTTTGTACACTAAAATTTAACTGTCTCTAAAATGTGGGTATATGTGAACTGGTAGGCAATATCACAGCATTGAGAACTGAGTCAATGGCATCTGGAGCTCATTCTGAAGTGGACACCCACTTTTGGCTAGGCAGAGAGGCTTATTTTCTCTCTCCATTTCATTAATACATTAGTCTAGCACTAATACATTAGTCTAGCATTAATACATTAGTCTAGCTACTCTGAAACTGCAGTTGAAATTAGTGGTTTTATATATATATATATATATATACATATGTATATGAGTTTTCTGTAGTTTTTGTGTTTTTAAAGACTGCACATTTGAAAACATTTTAGTGTCTTCTTAAAACAGATGATCTTGATTCATTTCACATTAGTTTGAAAATATTACATTGCTATTAGAGCTATTTTGATTATTGAGTTACCTATGCTGTATAATGTCCCAATACAAGAGCAGCAGAAACATGTTTATGTTTCATTTGTTGAGTGTAATTTTACTGTTGCTTGGAACAACCAGTGTGTGCTCTCAGACATGATGTGATTAACATTGTGCAATCACTTATCCTGAGTCAACCTGCTTTAGGAGTCTAATCAGAGCAGCATCTTCAGTAATTGCTAATCTGCAACTGAAAGGCTTCAGGAGTGAGAGGCAGAAATGCAGATGTAATTAGAATTCTGTTTATGTAGCAGAAAAACAATGGGGAAAAAAGAAGAAAAATGGGAAGGCTTTAAAAAGTTTGGTTGAAGGTTTTGGCAACTGTGATGTCTGCCCACAAAATGGATCTAGAGAAATAAACTGCCAACTGAAATATGATACAGCTAGGAAATAGCTGATATGGCACTGAATGAAAACTGTCATTGTGACATCATAGAAAAATCATAATTATCCTGAAACTACTCAACAAAGCAGACTTTTAAATTTCCTGATGATGTTTTTATTAAATTTTAAATAAAACACCATAGTTTTCAGCTCTTTCTTTTTTGGCCCTTTCATAAAAATGGGCTAGGTCCATTCAGAATGGGCTTGTTCCCACTGGCACCCAGAGGAGAGTGGTGATTGCTTCACTCTGGAGGTGTCAGGATTATGAGAACCCAAAGTTTGAGCCAAGATACATGGAGATCTGAGGGTATTCTTTATGTCTATTCTCACTTATAGTAGGAAAGTGCAAAGACTATTCTTTTTGAAAGGGAATTAAAAAATGTAGCAGCGAATGGAAGAAGTAAACAAAGTCTCCTTCACCCATTAATGCATTGCCTTCAACAGAAGCAGAGCGAAACATGGTAAAAATCTCTGAGATTCAGATAGGGCTCTTTTGTAATAAAAATAATGAATGCCAGAAATGGCCACTCCAACAGTCTGCTAAACACCAAAAAGCTGTGTGAGGGAAAAGAAAGATGGATTTGAATTTAGACAGTGTTTCTGAGCCACCTGAATTCTGCATGACTCGGAATCCTCATTGTGGATGCTTGTGTCGTCTTTAGTATTTGGATTAATGTGGAGTGCTGGAAGTCGCCCAAGTTATTAGTCAAGCAATACAAATTAGTTGATAATAAATATTCAGCAGCAGCTGTCCTTTTGGAGTCTGAGGAATTGAGTAAATGCTTTACCCAAATACTTTTTTGTGTCTGTGGAACTGTAGGTCTGCTCTCATATCAGCCTTTGTTGAGTTATACTTCAAGCAGTCAGTTAAGCACTATGAAGAGCCTCTGGTTTAGTCTGAGTTTAAAAATCCAGACTGTTCATATAATTCATATTCTGTAGGGGTAAAGAAAAAGCTAGAAAAATCCCATGTATCTCTAATTTAAAATATCTCCTTGCCTCTTTTTTGTGTTTTGCTTATTTTTAGGACTTTTTTCTTAGGGTTGTTTGTGATTTTTGAGAGGGAGTTTGAAAAAAAGATACTTTAATACTTATAATGAAACTGAGAATGAACAATTCAGTCAAAGTTATTAATATATTTTCCATCATATTGACTATTAGGGAAAATCAAATATCAAATCAAATACAATTTTCAAGAAAAAAATTTCATCAGAAAAAGAAGCAAGTCATACACATCCTAGCAAGCAGGAGTTTTATTAAGAGTCTGTGAGTTATGGTCATTTTTCAGAAAAATGTGTAGATCTGTGGAAAAGCTCTAGATTTCAAGTTGCACATTTTTATGATTCAGAAAAACCACGTAAGAGATGGATGCCTGCAAATTCTCCATGAGATAGACTAATAAATATTTTAAAAACTCATGGTGAAACTAATTAATTTAATGCTGAAAATAAATGCCACGATTTTCATTTAGTGGTGAAACTGATTTATTATAAGCAAGTTTTGCACTTTCTTGTCATTTATATTTAGGAACATTATTGTGAGTAGAATCGCAAAAGTGATTAGTGCATGAAGAACCCCAACTAGTTGGGCAGAATAATGGACAGTAGCAGGTCTGGAAGATGTGGTACAATATTTTGCTAAACTGGAATGTTTTAAAATGGTTGAAAATGTGAATTGAATTTTGAATTTATAGTAAATAAACGTTTTTCCCCAGACATTTGAAGATTTGTTTGAACATTTTTTGATTTCATATTTTATTTTTTAATGATTCAGCCCATACAGTGAGATACTTCTAATGCAAATCAGATTACTGTGAAAACTCTCCTGTCTGGACAAAAGAAATATGTAGAGCAAATATTCTTATTCTGAAAAAATAGCTGACTTTTCCTTACCTCATCCTTTAATATGAATTCTGCAACTTTGTGACATTTTTTGTAGAAAAATGGTAGCCAGAACACATGAAAATATAGGTATTGTTCTGACCATACAGAACAGGATATTATAGTGAAAACACTTATATGAGTACCTCCTGTACTTAAATCTATTCTTAAAGTTTAAAGCATTTCCAGTTTGCTGTGAATTCTGTACAGATCTTGCAGCATTACACCGCCTCAGTTTTTAAATAATTTCAAATAATCGATTAATGCTGACTGCATTAGCTGTTGTAGAGAAATAATTGTCTCAAATTACAGAGATTTGAAGAAGAAAATGGGAAGCTGAAGTCTAAGACAAGACAAAAACAACAAATATTTCTAACTCACAAAAGCCAAAAGGTAATTGCAAGATCAGACATCACAGGATTTTATTATCCAGGTATACATTTTTGTCCACATTTTCAATATTATTTAATGTTCCTTTACACTGATAAAGCATAAGTTTTAGTCATAATTAACTTCCTCTTTCTTGATGACATTTACTATTACATGTGCATATTAATTTAAAATGAATATATAGACATTTATAAGAAGACATTAATTTTGTAAAGTTGGAGAGCAATGATATGTTTATCTATGAAAAGTATGGAAGGAAATCATGAGCCAAGCTTTTGCATGTGTCCTAAAAAGATCACTAAATGCTGCTGCTTTTTTGTTGAATTTTAAGCCAGCATGGTTAGTAGGTAAAACTCAGAATATTAAAATATTCTCTGTGTGTATGCGTTTATCTTTGGGTTATCTTTACTTGTTTGATTGGGATATTTTTAATTACATATTTTTAACTGTGGTAATGGTTTTATTATGTTAACTGTCAGTTTTGTTATGTTAACCTGATCAGCTTACAAATTTCAGACCTGTGCTTGAAAAAGACTTAGTTTTCTTTTTATAGCACTATCAAGACTGGTTAGTAAGGCAGGGTTTTTTATAGGTACAAATGTCTCCATTGCCCTAGCACAGCTCACAGTAGCTAAATGAAAATGAAGAATGCATAGTATAGACATGGTTGACCTCAGTGATGTGTGACAGCCTATAGGATTCTTTTACAAAATAATTACCACAAGGGGCGAAAGAAAAATTATTTGAATATTTTATTCTGGCTTTTTTTAGGAACTGTGATAAAGAATATCAGTTCTACCTGTGCCCTTGTTGACTTCAGCAATGGGGAGAGCTGTGATGTCCTTGTCAAATTCACTATACCTGTTGGAGGTGCTATGCCATGCCCACATCTGCAGGTGAAAAACTGTATTTTTTTCATGATTGCACAAATGGATTTTATATTTAAAAATATGAAATTAATTTTATTTTCAGATAATAAATTATAGATTTTTTAAAAAGTCTCTTAGATACCTTTATTTTAAAGAAGAGTTTTTCATTATGGTAATATCATACCATTTTCAACATGGAGTTTTTCATTTGTTTGAAGCTTGTTTTCATTGTAATTCTATTCCTTTGTTTATTAAAATTATGTGTTCTAAATTAATCTATATTGTTTTCTTTAGAAATCATGAATGTTTCTCAATCCATAGAAGAAAGGTGAACTATTTATTAGTGCAGTTATTATTTCATAGCACATAGATTATAAATTAAGAGAGCCTTTTTTACTTAGTGTGAGCAGTTTACTTGCAGCAGGTTTTAACCATTTGGTTTTCACAGCATGTTTTAAATCCAGCAAATAACCATATACTAAGGCAAATAACAGTAATAAAAAATTATAATCCCTGTTCATTTCTGATTTTCTTTAAAATTTATCAGCTGACTATCTGTAATCACAGCTGAGTTTTTTTGGTGATTCTTATTTTACACACCAGAATGGTGATGGTTGCATAGAGGATACAGGATGGATCCATCTGTTTTGAAGAAAAGAAACATGTTTATAATTGCAGTGCTATGTATAAAACTAGAGACATACCCTTTTTTTCAGTTTGAGATAAAGACAAATCCTGATATAGTAGCTCCTGATAACTCTGTGAGTTCTGTATCCAGCTCTAGAGACCTGCAGAATTTGATATAAAACTGTGACTTCTGTGTTAATTTTAAAAACAATTTTGGATAAATTAGTTACATCTGGAATTATCTAAAATTCCCAAGATTGGTTTGTTGAAAGACTTAAAATTTGCCTAGAATCCAAGGGAATGCACAGTTTGTAAGAGTTTCCTCATTCAGTTCAGCTTGCTAGCTAAGCCCAGGTACATTTAGCAGAGCTCAGTCCTTTATTTTTGTTTTGTGTTCTCTCCCTGATTCAGTGGAAATTGCATGATCAGAACATGCAAGGACCAAGTTCTTCTTTACTTTCAATGGTCCATATTAAATCATGGGAACATGATAGAATGATGATTCATGTAAAAATACCTTAGTAGTTATGTCTTGTAAAGCTCCCAAGTGGTTCTTGCAGTGGTTCTTGCACTGATGCTTTCCTGTGCACAGGTTGGAGACTACGTGTTTGCCAGAACCGGGACACGGGCAGAAAATGAATGTTATGTACCTGCCATTGTCATAGCAACACCACAGAGGGTGGAGACAGGTGACAAATTCTACACAGTGCTGCTGTTCAACAATAGAGAGGTAAGTAAACCTAGGGGATGATACCAGGCTGGCTGGTTTTGAAGAGGCAGATAGAATTTTCCAGGCTAATGGGCTCTCTGTCCCAATCTGAGTCTCCAGCTAACCAGAGTAAATCAGATTTCAGAGTGCAATGAACAGCTCATGCAGTAAACCTGAACGAAGAAATTCTGTTGGATAATTTATTCTTAAATCATACTCTGTTCTTTCTTCTTTAGTACATTTGGTGGCTTTCACAAGTTCCATGTTCTAAAATAAGAAACATAGGAAGTTTTAACACAGTCATTATAGTCTGACATTAATTCCATTATGTTTGTTTGTTTTTTGTTTGTAAGCCATTATGATAATTTTACTGCATTTTTCACAGCGTGCATTAAATAAAATTTACTTTGTACTTGAAACTTTTATATTAATTATCTTTATTAGAGGCTGATTACAGTTACATTTAAACAGTTGATTTTTTATGCATATGTATCTTCATTGCTTTTGAGATTTGAGTTTTAATTAGATGAATATTGTTTGTGTTATTGCAGGAACACTGTATAAGAAGTGAGCTCATTAAAATCAGCCAAACCAAGTATGCTTATTCCTGTCAGTACATAAGAACAGTTCAGACAGTGGATTATGAGATGTGAGTACGTTTGAACCTAAAAATACCAAATTTTTAAAATTTGAATCCTAAATGTTGCACTTTGAGTTCAGCTATGCTGTCAGGTTTCCATACGTAGTACTCTAACTACAGTTACTGTGAACTGGCTTACTCTACACATGCAACTAAGTTTATGTGAGAATTTACTGCCTTATTTTCATTCTGGAAATATTGGTGGGATCTGATGATTTGAAGCTTAGTCCCAGAAAGTTGTTAAGGGGATTGCTGAAACGTGAGATAGAGTTTGTGTTTGTTGAAAACCTTATTTTACTTTTAAAATACTTATTGTAACATAAAGCTGCACATAAAATTGCAATTTTTTTCTAAGACACTTGTTCATCTTCTGAGCTTAAATCTGGAGATGGAGAGTGTGTAAGATGAGTATGAGCCCCTACTTAGGTTCTGCAGAATTAATGGGCAGCAAGATATGAAGTATGCACTGAAAATGCAAGTGTTCCAAGTGTTTATGGATTACATTTTCATCTTGTATAAAGTTCTAGTTTAATCCAGTTGAAATTGTGATAGCCTTTGGAGCACTAACAACCTCATACAATGTTAGGATGGACAATAAGATCAGAACAATCATCTAGGGATATTTCTCCAGAATACATTCCCAACCTACAATTATTGGAATTTAAAATTTCTCTGAAGCAGAATTGGAGTCTCTGTATTAAACAGCCTTGATGGAATTTTCTTGCATGAATTTGTGCAGTTTCTTTTTTTGAAAGCATGTAAAACTTCATCATCCATAGCTTCTTCCCAGGGGGAGTTGCACAGTTTCACAGTTTGTGTGAGAAAACATAATTTGGTTTTGAGTCTTCCATTTGCCTTGACATCTACAGAATGAAGGAATTCCTCTTACATGTAGTATGAGCACTGCTGCAAAAGAATAATATAATCTCCATCATGGGAAGTTTATTTCCAAGAGGAAACATGAACAGGGAAAATCACAGAATCACAGAATTAGCTTGGTTAGAAAAGACCTTTGAGATTGAATCCAACCTATCACCCAACACCACCTTGTCAACAAGAGCATGACTTGAGTGCCACATCCAGTCTTTTATTAAACACCTCCAGGGACAGTGACTCCACGCTCTCCTTGAGCAGCCATTTCAATGCCCAATCACTCTTTCTGTGAAGAACTTATTCCTAATATAGGAATAAGCTTAGGCTTATTAGTATTATTATTAATATAGGAATAAGTTTAAGCTGCCTAAACCTTCTCCTGGTGCAGCTGTCACTGGTTACCTGGGAGAAGAGACTGAACCCCACCTGGCTGCACCTTCCTTTCTGGTAGTTGTGGAGAGAAATAAATTCCACCATTAAAGGCAATTTTAGATCACAGAATCATGGCATGGGTCAGCTTGGAAGGGGCCATAGTGGGTCATCTGGTCCAACCTCCCTGCTCGAGCAGGGTCATCCTAGAGATCATGGCACAAGATTGCATCCAAATGGTTGAGTATTTCCAGTGAGGAGACTGTACACTCTCTCTGGGAAACCTGCTCCAGTGCTTGCTCACCCACAGATGTTCTCAATTTTCATTGAAATGTTCTAATATGATTATCATCACTAAAGATTTAATCTAAAAATTATGGGTGAGAGTACCAGTTGTGGGCTTGATCTATGGATTCACTGAGAATGACAGAGTGAAAAGCATCTGAGATTCAAGTCCTTTGGTTCCCATGTATTTTCTAATACTGATCCCACTAGACTTTGAAACTCAGCCTTCCACCAGCTTGCAGCTACAGCACACAAAAAAATGAATGCCTTCTCTTTGCTGAGCAAAATTCCAAATCTGGGAATACATCAATGCCATTCCAGGCCATATAATTGATATGATAGCAGCCTCTTCTCACCAAGAAGCAAACCTGAAGACCATGGTTTCCTTGTCAATGCAAACAACCAGTTGAAAAGAGGGAGGTATATAACTGGTCTGAGTTCCAGCAAAAGCAGCAGAAGTCTTTCCCTTCTACTGAGTTGGATTGTATTCTGAGGTACCATATTAAGAAAAGATGTGATTAAATGCATGAGCAATAAGAATAGTGTCCATTCTGCATGCTTTGTTTCATGAATGAGTGCTTTGGTACAACCATTCACTCTCCAAAGAGAATTTGTTATCAAGCTGACTTGCCATTTTTATGTACAAATGAGGAGAAAATTGAATTTTGCATTGGCAAATGGAGGAATTCTTTGGAGAATTGACTGAAATGAATGCACTAAATGGAGTTTTTATTAGAACCCCTACTTTTTATGAGGACATGGAAGTGTGCTTTTCAATGAAACTTTTTTATTATATTTCTAAAATAAATCCCTACCTCCTATGTCCTACTTAGAGGGGGACACTGCAGCATATTGCTCATGGATATGCACAGATCTAATGGGAAAGTGCTGACATTGTTGGTAAGAAAAATGCAAAAGCATAATTTAATTGGAAAGGAATCAAAAAGTTTGAATGCAGTATTATATTTGAACCTCAAAAAGAGACAAACTGCTTCTGCTAATTGCTGGAGTAGTAAGGGAAAAAAATTAAAGGCACAGATTCCATGCTGACAGGAAGTCCTCAGTGCCTATAGATGTTATACAGTGGCTTGGCTAACTCCAGCTGTGAGTTCTCTGGGATTGTCTTTTAATGTTTTTGTGGTGTGTATTAGGGATTATGCTTAATTGAATAATCTTTAGAGGTACTAATATAGCTCTTATGATTTTAGTATGAGACATTACCATCTTTGGGGCATTTTCCTGCCATCACTGTGGAAAGAAATAATTATGGCAGAATAAGCACTCTGCAAATGTAGCTAACAAGTTCCATTTGCAAAGTACAACACTGTGTGATGTGGACCCACACAGCAAAAGGGCCCTTTTTCCCCACATCCTTTCTGCAGTCATAAGAGGCAGATAAGATTAAGGGCCAGAGCCCTGTTTTAGGCTATCCTTTACTTATTCTATAAGTAAAAGGGAAGCTGAATTGTAGGACATTTACAGCCCTGTCAAATGGTCAAGAGTGTGATAAGTCCTTCTCTTGTCAGTACTGTGAGATGTGGAAAAAGGTGAAATATAAGTCTTGTAAAAAAAAAAAAAAAAAGAGGCTTTATGAGGTATGTGCTTTTAGCTTAGTGGATTTCCTTTTCTGGTTTTCCAGCCTGGATGCTAAGACTAAAAAGCCCTGCCCTCACTCAGCTGTGGAAGATGAAGGAGGAGAACAAGCAAGAAAAAGCATAGTGAAAGAAAAGAGGGGGAAAAAGAAAAAGAAGAGGACAACAGTAGACAAAAGGCATCCCAGAGAGATGATGTCAGACTTGGATAATCTTTTGTCTCCAGAAGTGAAGTAAAACAGAGAGAAAGAAATTCACTGTCTAGCAATAAGGAAGAATGTAGAGGTAAAGGTGTAGCTCTGAAAAAGTGTAAGGAATTAAGCTTTTGTGAGGGCCTTTAACTATTCCCAACACAAGGAACAGATTTCTGCATTTCTGGGTGTTAGCCAAGTTAGCTTTCCCATGTCCTATGATGAAATTCTTTCACCTCCTTTAGAAACTGTTCTTGACACTTTCTCAGTGTGTGTTTTCACAGCAGTAGCAAGAAATTAATAAAGCCTGTTCCAGCATATCCCACCTTAATTTCCCTAACAGTTGTAGTAGCAGTGGGCATGCAGTAACACCAAACCTTAATACCTGCTTGTAAGCAGAGCATTTATTCCAGTCCCTCTACTGTTTGTTCTTTGTTAGACTAAAGTTTTGTCTATATTGTGGGTATTAAATGATTGCACCTGTAGCTCAATGCTTCAGAGGTTAAATTGCTTTTGGTGTATGAGCTGGCTCAGTTAAAGCTGAGTACCTACTCCCTGTCACTCTGGAGCAGAGACTGGACTAGTGTAAGCCTGCCATTACATGTCTGTCAGCTCTTCATTTTCAAGATCCTACTGTCAGTGGAAAGATAACGGGATTTTTATCCATACTTGCTAGGTGTACCTCCTTGTACCATTTTAAATATGTTTTCAATGGCCTCATTATTTATTTACTTTCAGAAGTGATGGTTTATAAATTCACTCAATCATCATGTTTTCAATCAACTTGATTTAGCTCATCTGAATGTTCCTTCTGTGTTCTCTCTCATCCTTTAAGGATTGCCTGCAAGTTCCATATACATTGCTTATAGGGGGAATTATGGTCCCCATTATATAATGGATATTTTAAGAGTGGCCTGATCAGAATTATATGAGAGCAGAGGTGTTGGGCTTGTCCAGTGAAAAACCTGGTTTCCAAAGGTGGGGCTACATCATTGGAAATGCTCAGTTATCCCAGACACCTTACTCTTGGAAATTTTGAGATGCAGATGCTGAGGAAATGTGAAATAATCTTAATGTGATCAGCAAGTCCTGTAACTGATTCCCTGCAGCTTGCAGGAAAGATTACACCAGAGCAGTGGTTATCTATGCATTTTAATCCTGCCTAGATTTAGCAAATAATCTCTTAGTATTCTAACAAGGCTTCAATGTCATATGCAGGTCAAACATGCTGAAGAAGGTACCTTGTCCTCTTCTTGTGACACCATAAATATTGAATATGGGGTTTTTTTCCCTAAAGTTGATTTTCATTTACATATCCTTTTGTGTTTTGTCAGAAAGGGAAAAGTCAGAGCTGATAAAGATGTTAAGTAACACTGTATGGTCATCCTCACATGGTTTAATTAGATACCTCTTTATCCAATCTCTCTACATGACTGCATTTTTATCTTCTTTGGGTGTAGATAGTTACCCTATTTTCATACCATGCAAATGTTTCAGAGCACTCTGTGTAAGTTATATAATTTTATATCAATTGTGCTGCCTGACCCCTGATATACACATCTTTTTGAACTGTGCTAATACTGGATTTCATTTTAAAGATTAAGAGAATGAAGAAAACAAATTTTCCTGTCTATTTTTTTTCCCATCTGCTCAACTTCCAATCAAGTATGAACTATTAGTTTACACTTACTGCTTGGCAGTTCAATATGTGTTGAGTACCAGTGAGATTCCCCTATGCAGGTTAACACTTTTCCTTAGAAGTTGTCATATTTGATTACATTGATGTGAGTAGGTGTTAAATAACATGGATGAGGAGTTGGAAAGCCCTGCCATTCTAATTAATTATTTAGTTAGTCTCTGTGGACCAGGTATTAAAAATATCAGGTGTCTGACAATGGACTTTGCCTTCATGGAGTTTTTGTAGTGCTGAAATAAGGCTGGATATTCAAATCAGGAGCCTAAACTACACAAGTAAGGTAAAACACCCTGTTTTCCTCTTCAGACTCCTGTATCACTCTGAAGTCTCAAATATTGCCTTTCATATGCTGGACACACCAGTGTTCATCAGAGTGATCCCTTTCCAGGTTTTCCTAATTACTTAATTATTTCCGCACTGTTTATATCAAAGGCAGATTTTTTCCAAGTCAGCATCTCAGAGAAATCTTTTGAATAGCTGTGATAATGACAATTTTTATAGTTAAATATCTTTTACAGTAACAAGGTTATGGTTTGTTTTTTTTTTTTTTTTTTAGATTTCTAAAAGCAGTCTGTTAAACTGTTTGGTTTTTTTTCCTGAAAGATGTGTATTCCTCCCATGTATTCTTTTCCTTGTAATATCAAATACCTAAATAATTTGGATATCTTTTAACTTCTGAAAAAGTTCATTAGTCCTGATCTGTTTGACTGAAGTAAAGGCATTTTCTTCATATTTGTATAAACGTTTTCTCTATGTATGTATGTGTCTAAGGCATTAAAAGCATTTATGCCATCACTGTTTCTTGCATTTCCTTTAAAAAGGTTTATCTTGTCACTTTTTCTGTCCAGATACATACACATACACACACACATATATTTATATATATATTTAGTAATCTGACTGGGCTATGTTTTGTAACTATTTGATGTGTTAATCAACACTTCTGCCTATGTTTCTGCTGCCTTCATGTGTACATTCATCTGTTACATAAGGAAGTTCTCCTGAACTTGAATGAGCATTGCCAGATTACCAAGATGGATTTTTGTGCTCCCTAAGTTAATGTGGATTCAGCTACATGGCTCTTATATAGGTGGTTGATGAAACCTTGTATTCCCATGTATTTCCACAGACCTGTGGGCCCTATATGAATTAAGGGAATTTGGACTGTTTGTGGTTTGGTTCATGCTCAGCTAAAATATTTCTGATTGTTAAGAGGAATCAGCAGCCCATTTCTGATGGTCCTACTTGCAGAAACAGCATAAACAGAAGTGAATAAAGATTAAGTAATCATGTTAGTTGTTTAGCATATATTAGCTTCATTATTATGGTTAAGTGAATTCTGCCTTACTTCTTCCAGAACTACTATATTTGAAACATTATTATTTTGATATGTATGCTTGCCACTCTTAATGTGTTAAGAGTAAGAATGAAGAGAGTGAATGAAACTCATAAGAGAGTGAGTGAAAGCCTGACAAATTCCTGCTGACTGCTGGCTAATGATTCTTTGCCTTGGAAACTCAAATAATACTATTTGATGTAGCAAACCATTGATACTTAACTCTGTCCTTGGTTATTGCAATAATTGTTTTTATAGGTGCAATAAAATAATATATCTCTTTCTGTAGAAAAATTCTGTCTTTCTAGTTTTCTCTGTTCTGTAATGCCTAAAATCAATGTTCATTCGACATAACTTCCTTGCCAATTTTCTAAAATGTCTATCTAGAAAAGAAAACAAAATCAGAAAAAAATTGGTGTGAAGTACAGGTATGATACACAGTACTACACTGCATTGCCTGATGCATTAGCAAATAATAGCTATCAGAGCCAAAATCTCCTTTTTCATTTATAATGAGATGTGACTTGAAGCAATTATGCTGATAATTACTGTGACTGCCAATATGGGGTAGTTGGGAGACCTTTGCAAATGAACATTTTCTGTCCTTTTCTGTGGCAAACACAGTTTGTCTAAATTGAGTTCAAGAGTGGAGCAGCTGTGGCACCTGGCATTCTAGTGGATTGGCTGGATTTCCTGCAGTAGGATTTCCCATTTTTAGCACCCACTAGTTTTCCAGTCTCATTTTCCATCTAGTCCATTCAGCATTTGGAGAAGGCTATCACAATAAAGCAGTGTTCCCATCTGTTGGTCATGGCTTGTTTAATGAGCAGTTGATGTCAATTCAGCAATGCCTGCATCTGTTCCTTACTGCAGCTGTGTGTGGCCAACAGCAGCCAGATTTGGCTTTTGTCTCTTCATACCATGTTACAGCTCAGCCAGAAACATTCTGTCTTGTCTCAGGGCTGTCTGCTCATGGAAAGAGGAAAGTGTGCTAAACTCTCTGTTTCTTTCCCCATAAAGAATGAAACAGGCAAGGGGGGAAAGTGCAGTTCCGTTGGTTTAGGAGGCGTGTTTGGGGATATCTGAGGGCAGATTTGGAGGACAGTTCAGTCCAGATCCTAAGAGCAAGAGTGGAATGGGTTCTTTCCGCATCTTAGGAAGAAACATAGAGAGCTGTGCACTGGCTGAAGATAACAAACAGATTGTGAACTGTGTCTGATGGGGAACACTCATTTAATAGTGCAGCTTTCACTTTACTCAGGGAAGCAGTATGGCCACAATACCTTTCAGTATTTCAGTCTGACAATGCTTTTGTACTGCAGGCAGACAGGACACAGTCAAGAAATTTCCTGACCTTTACACATGTGAACTCTAGATTTCTGTCTCTTGGGTGCTGAAGAAGAATCAGAATGTTCCTTTTGTGTATGTAAGTGCTGATGGTGCACATTTATTAGGCAATTTTCAAAGACACACTTTTGATTTTTAAACTGCAGCTTCAAAGTTTCAGTGGTAGCTATGGATGAAAATCACTCCTAAAACGAATCATACTCAAATCTCATACTCTGTAAGTATTCAGTCTGGGCTGCTGCTCCCCCAGCCTGTACATCATATACTTATCCTTCTTTATTCTTTTAATTCCTTCCACAGTTTTTTTTCTACTACACAAGTGTTTTTAATGATCATTGAAAACAAAAGTCTGAAGCAAAATAGGGTATATGCTTATGTTTACTTTGTTTCTTCCTATTTTATTCTCTTTTGTTTTTCTTCCAGCTTCTGGTCTTTTGTCTTTCATAATGATTGTCATCATTTTGTGCCAGAAGGGTACCCAGTATTGGTGGTCTCATTTGATATGACTAAAAAGTGACCTTTCAGTGGCCCTTCAAAGAATGGTCAGACAAAGGTCCATGTAACCTGTTCCCTATCCCGAGCAGTTCCTGGAAGATGATCCCTGAGTAAGAGTGAGATCAAAGATTGGTCTGTGAACACAACAGCTACAAGCTATAGACTTAGAAAATGAGAATACTTAAAAATACCTGAAAAACAGACTGGTTTGAACTTGTGAGGAAGAAAGCAAAAAATCTTTATGCAGAACTACTACACA